TCAAAAGACAATGATTGAACAGACCTGTTGTGCTGACTATGCCCATCCTATGATCTTAAGCACTTTGGCTAGATGCTCTGACTAAGCATAAATAGAGATTATTCATAGAAAAAATTAAATAGAATGAGAAAAATCATAATATGCCCACTCTGTCACTGTGCTAATAGACAGTGGCTGCACCAGAAGTTCCATTAACTGGGCCTTCATTGATAAACACCAGTTACTCACTCAGGCCACTGCCACTCCCATTCCAGTATACAACATAGATGGGATAAAGAACCAAGCCAGGTCAATCACCAAGTTTGTAGAACTACAGCTCACAATTGGAGATCATTCCAAACAGATTAATCTAGCTGTAACAGATCTCAGGAGCAAGGAGATATTCCTGGGACATGACTAGCTTATTTATCACAACCCCTTGGTTAATTGGAAGACCAGCTGGATCACCTTTGTCAGATGTAAGTACCAAAAGATTCCTTTTGAATTGCCAGATAAAGATCCTGAAGACAGATGAGATGAGGAGATAGAGAACAGGGAGACTATCTTGGTGATCAATCTGGAACCCACCATTTATATATGGGCAGTGCACCATGCCAATAACCTAGCCACTAAGGCTAGCAAAGAAAAACAAGAGAAGTCATTTGAGAAGATGGTATCTGAATGGGCTCAGGATTATTATGATCTATTTGCCAAAGAAAGTTTCAATGAACTCTCAGAGCCAAAATCTTAGAACCATGCAATAGAGCTCATCTCCAACTCAAGCACCAACTTAGACTGCAAGGTCTACCCTCTGAGCAGACAGGAACAACAGAAGCTTAATGCATTCCTCAAGGAGAATCTGACCAGTAGACACATTAGACTCTCAAAGTTTCTGATGGCCTCACCATTCTTTTTTGTCAAAAAGAAGGACAAGAAGCTTTGACTGGTCCAAGACTACTGCAAGCTGAATGAAATGATGATCAAAAATTATTACCCACTCCTGCTGATCTCTGAGTTGATAGACAAACTCAGGGGTGCCAAATACTACACTAAGCTGGATATACAATGGGAGTACAATAATGTATAAATCAAAGAGAGAAATGAGTGGAAGATGGCTTTCTGAACCAACCAGGGATTGTTCAAACCAACAGTCATGTTCTTCAGATTAATGAATTTCCCTGCTACTTTTCAGTGGATGATAAACAATATTTTCAAAGATCTCATCACTACAGAAAAGGTCATGATCTATCTGGATGACATCTTGATCATGTCAAAGAATCAAGAGGAACACTGATGGCTAGTATGACAAGTCCTAATACTGATGAGAAAACACAAATTATTTTTTAAAGCCAAAAAATGCAAGTTTGAGATAATAAAAACAGAATATCTTGGAGTCATCATTAGTGAGGGAAGTATTTGGATGAATTCTATTAAGGTTGCAGGGGTCATGGAATGGCCCAAACCAACCAGAAAGAAGGAACTCCAGTCCTTCCTCAGATTCACCAACTTTTATTGATGATTTACCTGGGACTATAGCAAGATCATATGCCCAATGACACAGTTAACCAGTAATGCTCCTTGGAAATGAGGCATCTCATAATAAGAAGCCTTCAATGATCTCAAGAGGCACCTGGCAAAGAATGTAGTTCTTGCCATACCAACTCAAGATGAGAAGTTCCAAGTCAAAGCAGACTTAAATGAGAGGGCTATAGGGACAGTTCTATTTCAGGAACAAAAAGAGAAATGGCAACCAGTTGCCTTCCTATCCAAGGCCCTAACTATCACAGAACACAACTATGAGATTTACAATAAGGAATTACTCACCATCATGCTGGCCCTAGAAAAATAGTGACACTACTTGATCAGGGCAACTTTGACTTTTAAAGTTTGGACAGATCACCAAAATCTCCAGTACTACTGACAACCCCAAAAACTAAATTGACAACAAGCACACTGGGTGACTGAGCTCAGCCAATATTTGTATATGCTACATCACAAGGCAGAATTCACTAACAAGAAGGCTGACCTGCTTAGCAGAAGAGCAGATCATGACCAAGGAAGCAACAACAATGAAGAGGCCATCCTTTTATGACCAGAGCATTTCAGAGCAATGATAATGCTCACAGAGGAGAAGATCCATGAGTGGATCAAAAGCACTATAAGGAACAACAGCAAATAGGATCAATGAGTGGCACCTTTCCTGAACCATGAGTGAGGAATGATAAAGGAGAGAGGCTTGATCCAATATGATGGATAAATCTACATTCTATGAGACAAAGAACTCTATGGTGAAATTATTGCCACCTATCATGATCATCTGATGGTGAGACATCCAGGCATCACCAAAATGAAGAAACTTGTACTTTGTGAATACTGATGGCCAAAAATGGGTCAGAACATCAAATGCTATATCAAAAAATATAAAACATACCAGTCTGGCAAAGCCTCTATCCAACTCTGAGCCACACTCTTACATCCAAATGAGATTCTATCAGAGCCTTGGACACACATATCAGTTGATATGATCATAGAGTTACCAGAATGCAGAGAGTATGATACTATACTCATCATTATCAATCACTTCTCTAAAGCAATCATCTCTATCACATGCTTGACAGAACTAACATCAGAAGAGTAGGCCAAAATCCTATATGATGAAGTCTATGCCAAACATGGCATGCCCCAAGTCATCATCTCAGACTGTGGTCCACAATTCATCTCTAAATTCCTAGATAATCTCTACCAACTCTTAAACATTTAATGAAATGCATCAACCACTTACCATCCACAAACTGATAGACAAATGGAGCATGCTAACTAAGAGGTCAAAAAATATTTATAACTGTTTATTAATTATTATCAAGATAACTGAGTTGAATGGTTGGCATTTACTGCATTCCAGCATAACAACAGACTTCACTCAGCAACTGGTTATACTCCATTCTTCATCAACCATGGCCATCACCCCAATATCTCTCAGATACAACACCAACACATATTCACACTTACATCAGCTGACTTTGCAAATATCATGTCTAAAATTCATCAGAAAACAAAGATGGTGCTGCTCAAGGCAGCAACCACAATGAAGAAGCAGATCGACAAACATTGCCTTCCCACTCACAAATATAATTTCAATGACAAAGTTTGGCTGGACACCACCAATCTCCATCTCTCTTGCTCAAAACAGAAACTTGCTGATAAACACATCAGACTCTTTTCCATCCTCACCAAGGTCAGAGCTTCCATCTACTGACTATGCCTACTATCCAACTGGTGTATACATGATGTATTCAATGAACCCCTCCTTTCCTCTTACATCACCTCTGCATTCTCAAACCAAGAATGTCTACTACTGCCACTATCTAACCTTATTGATGATGAAGAATATTATGAAATCGATGAAATATTAAACCATAAACTATGAAAGGTCAGAGCCAAAGATGATGAAACAACAACTACAGTCAACTACCTTGTCAGTTGGAATGGCTATAGACCAGAATTCAACCAATGGGTAAACAAAAAACATATGAAAGCTGATGACACCATCTATGATTATGAATTATCTCTAAATTAAACTATTGGGATGATGGTCTTAAGGAGGGGGTAATGTTATGATTTTTCCATCTTTGCTTTTTTTTCACAAATTAACCCCTATTTATTCTTAGTCAGAGTGCCTAAGACAAGCACTTAGAACTATGAGAGAGGCTTAGTCATTATAACAAGCCAATCTATCATTATTCTCTGATACAGTGACCAACCCTCAACAACACACAATCAACCTTTTGTGTACAGTAGTGATGTCTAAGGACAATGGGCACAAGGACTTAGAGACATACAATAGGCAGTTATATATTTAACTTTATCATGTACAGTATATAAGTAGGCTCACTCTTGCTGATAATCCCCAGCTTTGAGCTAAAGTTTATTACTACACCATTCTACTCTCAAGCCTATTCCAAGGCCTTGCAATCACACTGATCAGTATTTATATCAGTGAACTCAGATGTTTCACTTGAAGTGCAAAGTGACATCAGTTTATCATGTGTCTATGATCACATGAAGCTTGGGTCTAACATGAAGTTGTTTGTCATTTTTGGTGTCATATACTCTGCACCAGTTGGATTCTGACCTGACAGGCTTCTTGACAGATGAGATATCTTTTCTGACAATGGCATATCCTGCTATAAGTTCTTTTGTCTCCTCATCATGATCATATCCTTGTTCCATCAAGGCAAAAAGTTTTGAAAAGTTGACATATTGGTACTGGGTAATGAGGCACCAGAAAGGCCAAGTGATGGGTTCAGAGAGAGCCTGAGCCTGAAGAACTGCAATAAGATTGTCAAGCTACTTTTTGGTGGCATAAACTTGTCTGAGGCAGAATGACTCAGCAAGATGAAAGTCTGAAATACCAGTGGCAATAATGGATGCCAGGTGAGACACTTGAGTGAGGACCATCAGAGAAATAGAAGCCATCCTCAGTGAGACAGCTTCATCAAGCCCCAGAATGCCAGCAAGAACTGCAGCAATGAAGCTCTGAGAATCATTTGTGGTTAGCATTTGATGAAGGAATTGAAGCTTTGAGTGAAGTGCTGCCCAAGCTGCTCCCTCAACCATGTGAGCTCTGGCATCCTGGCACTGTTCAGCAGTGGCTTTGGATCTTTCAGCTCACTTTTTATGAAACTCCTCAATCTCAGTCTGTGACAAGTCCAATGTCTCATGAATCAGCCTCAGGCAAGCACTGAGACAGTGATAGTGCTAGCAGCCCCTCTTCATGGACAAGCAGAGCTCTGTATCTCTGTGTTGACAGAGATTGTGAATTACCTCGAGAGCCGTGCAGAGGCCTGCGAAAATGCTCTCTACCCTTGGAATCCGCCTTTACAACGGTCTCAGGTTCTTCGGCCCGCAACGGTTTTGCCAAGCACTCACAAGCATTTTTGTGACAGTGTCACAAATGATATGATTGCACTATTTCAATTTCCTTTGCCTGATTCCTCCATGACCCCTGCAGCGACCACGGAATGCTTACAGTCAAGCTTGTCGTCATCGGTGCTTCCGGCGTAGGCAAGACTAGTCTTCGTACTCAGGTGCGCACTTACAATATTCGTGTAACAGTATGCCTAACTTTACAAACAGTATATTTCTGGTCGATTTTCGAATAGTTACCGGGCTACTATTGGCACCGATTTTATCACCAAGACAGTTCCTCATCCTACGAAGAACGGTGAATATGTGACTCTTCAGATATGGGTGCGTCGAATTATCAATGTTTTGCGGTAAACAATGCTGAATGTCCAATAGGATACAGCCGGTCAGGAGCGCTTTAGTAGTCTTTCGACAGCATTCTTTCGTGGGGCAGATGCGGTACTACTTATGTTCGACGTAAACGCCTCTCAGACGATGGATGCACTGAAAAAATGGTGGCAAGAATTCCGTGAGGGCGCACCCTTGGCAGAAGAGGACGCGGAAGACTTTTGCTGCGTCGTGGTTGGGAATAAGATGGATCTTGCCAATGGAGAGCCTGCGGTCACTAGAGATGAAGCTCAATGTTTCATTGAAAAGCTGATTCCCTCAACGTCGCGGCCAGAGACACCAATTAACCTCGACGTCGTAGAAGACGACGCCGAGGCGGATGGTGGTGTCGAATTATCTTCTTCTCAAGTGACAGAACGTCCTATGTATTACCATCCTCCTTCCTCCCCGCGTTCCATACACTCTCACCAGCGCTCTTCGCCCTCACATTCTCCTAACGGTCGAATCACCAAGAGTCGCTCACTCTCTTCTTCTCGTTTCTATGGCGGCACGATGACGACAACCCACACGACACTTACTGTCTACCACACGCCTTCCTCGTCCCTCTTTGATGTGTACCAATCCGCGCGCTCGTCACCAGAACCACCGTCCAACCAGTCATCCCCACAAGCTTCAGTGCAACGCCCCCGGCGATTGACGAACCTGTCTACAGGGAGCGAAAGCAGCACGAGTGTTGTTACCATGACGCCCAGTTTGTTTGCCCTGGAACAGTCTTCATCGACGACGATGAATACGACACCGGAGCCGTCCGTGGCGTCCGTGCCGGATCGAGGGCCGAAGCTCTTTTACACATCTGCTAAGACTGGTGATGGTGTTTCGGACGTGTTTGAATATATTGCTCGGCGTGTGGTCTCACGATGGGAATATGACGAGCGGATAGAGGCTCGGCGGCTGCGTATCCGCGATGCTAGTGCGGCAGATACCATTCGGCTGGGATTGGAGAGAGGGACGGATAGGAGCGGCCATTCAAGATGGGGAGATTGCTGTGGTTCATGACTTCACTACAGGAGTTTTCATTCTCATCTATTTATCATTCAGTTGCACACAGCTACGAATCCTTCGCTTATTCTTATCCAATATATGACTATAGAACCGGATTTCATTTACCTGCTGCACTGTATGGAAACAAACATCGCGGATATGGAATGGCCCGTTCGCTCAATATTTCTCACCTTCCTCATCGTTTGTAACGGCGTATCACTATTCGATTCTCTGGGACTGTTCGTCGTCATACTTCGCCCCAGTCTCGCCGATAAGTACATCAACGGGAGCAGCATGCAAATAAGCAACGACCTCCTTCCTGAAGACACGAAGACGATCGCTGAATGGAATTCGTTCGTCAGGTCTTTGACAACCGCTATATGCAGAGATGAGAAAGGGAGGAAGATTATGACTCCGAGGCCAAAGTCGGATTGCACAACGCCGTTCCGGGCGCCCTGAATCGAAGAGATGCCGGAAGATTACCGGGAAGCAACTTTCGAGCGAATATCTATCTAATCGGACTCATATGAGGCACGGGAATCGGGACTTCGGTGGTACGTGTGGCCAAGAAGACATGTCAGGGACGTGACTAGTGGCCTGAGTTCAAGCCAAACGCCATGAATAACAACCCTCTGGTAGCTTTCTCTCTACTTTACTCGCCCTCTCTGTGTTCACATCGGCTGCCGTGCTCCATCTGATCTCCACATCAAATCGCTTCATCTCAGCCGCCAACCATACTTTCGCATGATAACCTTCCCTTGTTCCACCTTCTGGGATACATGTGCAGTCCTGTACTTTTCCTACGTCCTCCTCATCTTCCCAGCTGTATTGGAGAAGTATCGTCCTCGCAGATGTAGCTGATATACGAAGCATCACACTCGAGGACAACATACAAACCTTCCGAACAGCGGCGACATCCAACCCGTAAGCGTTGAAGAGATGCGCTTTCTGCTTCTTCTCCAAAAGGGCATCAACCGTTTGCCCCGTGAGTTCCATATCCAGAGCAGCTTGTAATTCCACGTCCTCGATTACCCATTTTTTCGCGACGTCGAATGGGATGAAGTAACCGCCGAGCTTGAAAAAAGGCACGGTGAGTCCGTAGTGTATCAGCCATACAAGGTATCAACAAGTAATCGATGAAGATAGGAAATCGTGTCGACTTAGTGCCACGTTTCTTTCTTAAGGGCTGGTGCCTCAAATCTGATCGTAGTCATCTATCGAGGTGAGTGATAAAGAAATTGTCTTCTTAACGATGGCTTGATACTTATACTTACCTCCCTTCGTCGGGATCAAGATAGTAAAGCAGTTGAGTTTTCTAAGACGGACCCAAAGTCACCGGGGTTCTGTTTGCATCACGGTCCCAACGTCCATCAATGCCCTGGAATGTTGCAGTGTCTCTTTATCTGTCTTCCTGTCATTTCTGAAAACCTTTTCTTTCTATCCTTCTCTCATAATCTGCAATATGCAATGCTCATGCGAATAGTCACATTATGTCTAGACCAGCACCTTCAACCATCTTCATTCAAGCAACTATAATGTTCGAATATATATCTTCGTCTCAACTGGTAGACAAGGTACTCTATCAAAGCGCTCCACTGATTGGATCAGATCGCTTCACCACTGTCTGCAATAATTCTATTGTCGTGCTCTCCGCTGTGAGACTCCCTGAATCGACTCGCTCTGGCTAAATCGCATTAGCGGGACCGTACCCATGGTTCCGATCATCGAGCTCCACAGATGCATCATCTATCACATTTGGTACTTGGGTATTTTGATCTCCCCAAATACATAAAGACAACCGTGCCTCTCCAATCCTGCTCCTTTATCCTCCCTTCTCATGGACTCCACGAACGGAAGTCTTGAGTCCATCGAGACTGCATTCCAGCACACGAGGCTCGTTGGGGTGCGTCGCTTTGTTGCTCGCGGTCCGCTCATTGTCTAATGTCATGCTCAGTATATGGACGGTGGATATCTCAGTGAATGCGCCTGGCGAGACACTCAAATATCACTTCTTCTAGTATCAAGCGTCGCGCTGCTCTTATATGATTACACTCTCACGCTCTCACTGGAAGTCGACCTGGTGTGGTGTGCTCCTTGGAGTCTTCTGAAGCTATTTTACATCGTGCAGCGGTATCTACCCTTTTTCGATACCGCCTTCCTCGTCCTCTACCGTGTGTGTTTTCTTTCCTAAACAAGTACTACCATAACCTTCACCCAGATCAATTCGCCCCAGAACTCAGTATACGCTATTGTCAGATCAGTCACAGCATGAGTGGTTGTGAGTTATTTCCTGCCCTCAAAAAAGTCACCAATGCTTCACGCGTTCTCAGGGATGTTCACCACCGGAATCGCTATCTCAGAAGGCAAGCTCTCCACAAGAGCTTTTGGACGTAGCCTAATGTCACATTCTGCAGTGATCCTCACGGCTCGCGTCTGGGCCGTCTGGGAATGCAACAAAAAACTAACATTCGGTCTTCCTGTGTTTTTTCTGCTATGCTGGGCGCCAAATTTTGCCATGATGGGTGTATTTCTCAAGTCTATGAAGTGTACGCTATTAATCTTCGTTTCCCTCCGCACTCTCGATTGACCTTCGCAGTCGGCCCAGCACCTCTCCCAAGCCTAGGTTGCTTTGTGACTACGAGTGATGACATACTATATTTGTGTTGGACGTGCCTGATGATCTACGATACTGGCAAGTTCCATCTATCAGCAGTGCGCCAGAATAGGTCTGATGAGAGTCAATAGGGATGCTGCTTTTGATGCTCGTAGCGGGCGTGAGAGCCTGTAAGAATGCACGTTTTCTTCGTTGTACTTTTTCTTATGGGTGGCTCCCCTGTAAAGATAAGACAGGCGGGGATTCGGCACTGTTTAATGTGGTATTTCGAGATGGTATGTCCACATCATCTGCAATGTCTGTGCCACTGACAACGCTATATTTCCAGGTGTGATGTATTATGCATACCTGTTCGGTGGGTTTTACACCTCATCGACGCTAAGCGATTAATGGCCCCACAGTTATATCTGTTATCAACGTCGCAATGATTCTTAGTCTACCGGTCCGTGTTTTGTTCCATGTTTAGGACTCTGGTTAACCAAAGGCCATCGCTAGCGTGACCTTGTTCATCTTCTGTCGTCGTACGTGGCGTATGTCCTCCGCGTAGAACCACTGTTCTGATCATCGTAGTGCCGAGCGTGTTATTCACGCACTCCTTACAAGCCGAGTCGTATTAGACATACGGGCACAGGGCAAACGGACAGAGATCGACCAGATGATGTGCCTGGAGACACGATCCTCTGACGATTGCACGAGCGTGGGGGTGTGGGTGACACAGACGACCAGAGTATACTCCGACAGCGTTTAAAATGGGGATGGCGACGCACAAATTGGAATGGCGTTATGATCATGAAACAGGACTTCACAGTCACAAAAGTGTTACCGATATTAGATGTTGACAGTGGCCCAGAATGCTTCGGATGTCCTGCTACCCAAGTGTTCGGGTGCCTCGCTGGCTAGGCCCTGCTGTTCATTTGTGATAGATTCGGTAACAAGTCTACTTCAGCCTTGGCATGTTTGTTATTTATGAAGGAGATTGCCACCACAAAAGGGTTACAAGGCCGCGCGCGTCAAATAACCACAAGATTTGCTTGAACTTAAGGTGCGACAGTGATGTTCCTGCGATACCCTACAGTTATTAAAGCTTGCCGTTAACGGTGTCCGACATGATGGAACCGTCATTACTGAGGCCGATGTCGATCTCAAAGTACGGTCATCGATGGGGGGAAACGTGGAATATTCAACAAACACGGTGTTGCGCAAGAACTGGTATAAACTCGGTTAGCGACAGCTCGATCACCCTGATACGCGGCGTGACCTGTGATACGCGGCATTTATCCGAGTCATGGTGAATAAGTATTAAGTACAGTCTATTAGCCCAGGATGCATTACTCCTGCTTGCATTAATACTCCTAATTTACCTGTTGAATTGCTCTTCAGGGCAACGAAACTTTCCTACACTCTGTGTTACCAATAGCGTGGACCGGTAATCAACAAAATGACAACATTGACATCAACGCTAAGTCGATTGCCGCGCCATGCGCCCCAGGGAAACGTCCAAAATAGTAAGTGGAGATTTAAGCGTAACAAGTCCGTGCCACATTCATATACCAAGTTACAGACAAATACAACGATCAGAAAACACGACAATCTAGTGATGGTAAACACAGACGGGCAACCGCCCGAACCCTAAAGCCCAAAGGAAACATATCCGCGGAGCGATTTTCAGTTAATCTTCAAAAGCTCGACTTCAAACGTGAGAGTTGAATTTGGAGGTATTACGGGTGGAAACCCGCGAGAACCATAGGCCTAGGATGATTCAGGTGAGCTTTAAGACTTGCAATAATGAGAAAGACGTACATAGTCAGCTGATGCCACAAGGATGGCTTTTTGTCCAAGGGATAGTTGAGGCACAGCTATACCAATGGAGATTAATATCGCGTCTCCATAGGTGGATGGACATACCCTCATCCCATCCCTTGATCACCTTTCCCACACCAATCTCCGTGACGAAAGGGTGTCCTCTGCCGTATGTAGAATGCATGATGATGAGTTGGTTATAGACGATTTATATATCAGTGAATGCGTACCGATCCCGGCTCGAATCAAACTTTGAACCGTCCTTGAGAGTACCCACATAATGCATTGTCACTCTGTCTGGAGACAATATTGGACTTGGGTAGAAGCAGATATGGGGAAAGAGTCTCACCGCCTTTTTGGGGGAAGCTTTTACCGTCACCGGGGGCCAGAGTCTCGATAAGAACACCCTGCAGCGTAACGTCATTCAGGGAGTCCCAAAAGCCCGGGGAACATAGGGCGTACCATAATTCGACAATATTCCAGCGACGAGGACAAAGAGAGGTGGTGGGAAGATAGTAGCGAGACAGGGTGCGCAGTATTCTTATACACGCGGAGTGCGGATCGTGATCCGAGTAATCGATCGAGCTTTTTGTCGCTCAATCAGGGGCAAGATATGGGGTACATTCGAGGGAGAAGGTCCTGTTGATGTATTCTGACAGCGGCCGGATAGAAAGATAAAGATAAGTCCTTTTGCGTAAAAACCGTCTTCAAAATAACGCGCTATCGACCACTATTCCAAAGCGTAAAATATTGCAGGACGTGTCTGACGACGTTCTGGTCAGACTGGTCTTCGTGGCTTGATTAGCGCTGCGGGGTGGTGCGGGATATAAGGCGCCCCGTGTATACAAGGAGAGGGGATGCCGATAAGATTAGGGTCCGTTCGGTAGCAGTTGTGCAGCTTAGATTGACCCTTCAAGATGCGGGGGGAAAACGGGGATAAGGTATACACTGCCATTGCAAGCCCTGAATTGCAAGTCAGAGGAACCGTTTACGCCCGCACCTTGACCACAACCGCCTAATAGAAGGGTGTTCGGAGAACCGTGTATGTCATGGGTGGAACATGTGAAGGGCCTTGTTCGCCATCTACCACCGAATTTCAGACGAAGGAACTCCATCGCAGGACATAGGTGTTCCGATTTCTGGGGAAGTCAAGACGTAAAATTCCTTTGAATCCGAAAAGGCCGAGGATGTTCTCAGTGCCACTACAAAAAGGGACGACGAAAGTAACGTCCTCATCTCAGATGTCATACGAGGCGGGTCGACGAGGTCAATTTCCGTCAGGCAAAAGGGTTTCCCGCAAGAAATCAGCAGACCATATTCCACAGGCGGTGTATGCACAGGGACGTCGTGTTGAGATAATCAACGTCGCACACCACGGCGCAATAGTAGGCATCGCTCCCGGTTATCTTTGCAAATCGACTATAAACTGAATTCATCTTTGATAGCCGCAGACAAAAGATGAAGCTTACCTTTATTGCTGACGTATACACATGCGCTACTTTCACACAAATATGTTCTTGCATAGAAACTTTGGCACATTCAGAGGTAGTTGTAGCCTTTAGCGTTGAGAAGATGGACACGCCCTTTTGCGTATACCAGACCTGCTTCCGACATCGTTCAACTCCAGACCTCCTCAATACTCAGTATTCCACGAGCAGGGCTTCGAATGCCAATGTTCGAAAGTTCGCGTCCACAGCGAAGTGGCCAAGGCATCGTCTATAGGAACCTTAAGAAATCAGCATTATAAAACTTCCGGACCTGGCTGAAAGGGTTACGGCGTCACGTCAGAATATGAACCTGGAATAAATGGAGTAGCGATAAGCACGTAGTAGCAACTATTAGATAAGCAAACAGGGTTGGGGATGTGCCCTGGCTCGGCACGTGCTAAAGTCATCACTCATCACTATTACGGCATTGGGAAACTGCGCAGGTTCTCTTTGCGCGTGCATTTTCTTACTCATGAACTGGAACATTAAATCTGGGAGCAGTCCGATGCCTTCGGCGCAGCCATCAGGGTTCGCTGGGCGGTCATTGTTGGCTGACTTGGACAGTGCAGGCCGCCGCCTTGACTGTATATCGACGTTGCTACGGGTCTCAACAGAAGGTTAAAATCTTGACTAGTATTGACTTCGTAGGTGCTAGATGAAGCAGACCGTCCACTGGATTTGGACTTTGGTACACACCTCGACGATCGATGTCCTTAAAGCTGTACCAAAGGAGCATACTTGTTTTCTGCGAATCAAGGTGTCCAGACCGCACCTTGTCCGACCATAGAAACCTCCACATTGTGTGTCTTGTTCTTCTCTCGAGAGCTTATCTTATACCTCCCACAGATACCGATTAGTCCCTACTCTCCTTCACTGCTACCTGCTATATCGTCTGATTCATGCCAATGTCTTTTTGGTGTACTGGATCAACTATATGGCAATTCCATGAGCATCCTTGCTATCTCTCCTAGGCTTAGTAGCACATTGCGTCCCCCGCGATTTGCTGCGGTGCCTTCACACGATCACCTGGCAAGGAGTCAGGACGCATTGACCAAGTTCAAAAGCGATGATGAAGATTATAGTTGCAAGGGAGGTCGCTACTCGGTACGTTTCGCCATTTACGTGGTCCTAGCAGAAGTACTGACTTTTTCAGGGAACCCTGTCTCTCTCGTGGACGTAATCATAAAGTTCGACATCCCAGCGAGATCTAAGGATTACATCCCGGGCGCGCAGGCCGTGCGACTAAAATCATTTTGATGATCGTTTAATACGATGCGGAGCTATTACAGCGGCTGAAATCTATTGTGAGAAGAAACTGGGAGAAGTGGCCTATTGACAATGAAGATGTAATGGTGTTTCATCAGATAGTGGACAAGGATGGACGGCTAGCCGCAGAACCAACTAAAGGAGGCGGCTGAGCACAAGAAGAGACCGAAGGGGAAGAGGAAGAAGAGACTGATGATCATGGTATCGAGGAGGCGGCCTTGTCGAGAGGTTCCCATCGGAAGAAGTACCGTTGACAACCATTCATTTTGTTATGAAGCTTTGTTAAATGACTCCGACAGTACTTAAGGAATTGCTGTAAGTGTTGTGATTACTATCCGCGACGCTTAGTGGCTCACGTTATGCAGAGTCAGTTTGATATCGAAAGGTGTCCACATGCGGAACCTCGTAGTATTGGACAGGCCTAACGTGGTCTAAGAGTCTTAAATAGCTACCATTCCTCTCACGCTTGCATGGGTTTTCCTCCGAGGCTCTGGAATTGTATTCATCCAAATCTTGTGGATTTCCATCTGTGTTCACGTGCATGAGATTTAACATTTGGATAGACATATTCACAGAATTCGCAAGCTTCCCAATTTACCGATGGTTTACCGTACCCGAAAGATTCTGATGATCTTCCGTTTGAAACGACTTCCAGACGCCCCATGGAGAAGGTGCTATCCCCATGTTATAACAAAGCGATTGGAACTCGCAGATAAGTGGCATGGCGCATACACATATCGAGCGCATGGTCCGTTCTATCCACCATGGGGTACGAAAATAAGACTAACCATTCCATGAGTTCATGGGAAATGTCTTCATTTGCTGCTAAAGAGAGTGGAGGTAATTGTTTCTCGTCAACAGGTTATATACTGTGTCAATCTTTAGGCAGTGTTTGCAAGGTGTCCGCTCTATCTCAAGTTATTTTGTCTGACTTCTTCCAAGACAACAATCACAAGGATGTGCACCAACCTAACTCATTTCAAATGAACGGATCTTGAATCAAAAAAACCCGGGCCCGCTCGCACTGGTCGAGCTGATTCTGATACTTGACCAATGATTGAGATGGACGAGTAGCTGAGATTTCGTGTCATGGGGCACGAGTACAGTGGGGTGCAAAGTCCCACACGGCACACTACTCGGTTTTCTCGACCGAAAGGTTGCAACTGACACGTGCAACGTCAGTTAATATCGCGTATCTAGGGTGCGAATAAGTGATAGGCAAGTAGACCTTTCTATCGATCTGTATGATCAAACGTATCAGGACTTCAAACTCTTCATTCATCGTCAACGAACCCGGTCGCGTGAAACAGGACAATCAGGGATGAGATGATCTACACTTGAGTCGAACGGAATCCGTGACCGCGTCGCACTTGAGCGGAAAATTGCGGACTTGACGAATACTGCATCCGAGTCGCGTACCACTCTCGGTTGGCCTTGATTTTCGAATTGGCAACGTAAACAATTGAAGAAACATCATGCAACCCTGCCAACAGACCTGAACATGATCAATACAGCCAGAATCCGAGATCCGCTCAATTTGTGACAGTGGGTCCAGTTTCCCACCTGCCGGTAACAGCAACATTGCGGTGACGCCTGTGAACTTCGTTCCTCGGACCAGAAACAATGGATTTCTTCTACAAGGGCATTTGGATCGCAACCGATTTCTGGAAAACCTGATATACAGGAGAGAAGTCAGAGCGGGTCCAGTGACGGTTTTAATGAAGTGTCATTAGTGGTCGAGGGTCGGAGACCAGCACTATCGCACCACCTAAATTGGAAGGTACGTCTTCGATAACGCCCATCATGATCTTCTTCTTTCTGTATCCGTCGTAGAACAAGACGCTTCGAGGCGGTGATGTGATTCTTTCATGACTATTCTACACCCGCCAGACACCCTTTTGTCAAGTACAAGAGCAAATAGTCACGATTGTAGCCGACCCCGACTGCGTTCTTCTTGTTCTTATTGTTCTTGCTTTCATTAAGTGGGTGATATAAAGGGATGCATGGCACGAGGCTGGACTACCACGATACAGATACAACCATTAGTCCGCCCTCCTCCCTTATCCTTGGTGCTCCATCTGCTGTCCAGCTATACTTAGTCAATGCCTACCTACCTCACTCACGGCCAGTGTCTGCTCATAGACTCTTCATACTATCTCCGAAGGGCTCAGGCTCCCTCATGTCCGTCAGCACACTCTCCCTCCAGGAAGGTATTCGATATCCCTCCTTCCCGTTCATTCCCTATCCCTCGTTCGTTCTCTCCGCCTGACTGGAACTGTCTTCCAGAGAGCGACCAGCACTGGCTCAAAGTTCGACTGCGGAATAATCTCCAAGCTGGCGACCTCTCCAGCATGCCCTCCTGGTTCCCGTTCCTCCGCCTCATGCCTTCCTCGTGTCCTTCCTCGCCAGCATCCTATCAGTCATACGAATTCCGCCAGGAGTTTCCTACCTCTAGTGGGGGCTGTGCCGTGACTTTCTCGTTCTGCGCAGTCCAAGAGCAGCTCTTCACATGGCGGATAGCCCTGCCGTCGAGTCAATGGCAGACGGGTGTGTTGTCTCTTCTCGCTAATTCGTTTTTGATATTGAGTACGCGCCAGAGGGCCAACCTATGACTATGGCACAGGTTCAGGTCCACAGGTCTGTGATGAATACGCCGTATTGGAGGTTCATGGAAAAGGATCCTTCGGTCATCTTGCGCGCTCTGTCCACGTCTCTCGAACTGGGGGTTTTGATCACGATCGCGCCTAGGCAGCTGTTCTCTCAGGAGATCTCGTATATGGCTACGAGTATTGATGGAAAGCAGGAGATTCTATACTCGGCGCAATGCCAGTGATGATCATTCAGTGTCACTGGTAAGCGAGACTACCATGTGCTGAAGCTCCGGGACTCACTGGATCTTTGCAATTGATAGGGTTTCTAATTTCCCATCCAAAACGTCGTTCCTGATACGGCGGCCTTGAGATTCGCATTCAGGATTTCGATTTTCAACCTCATGACCTAATCATTTGTCTATTCACATTATCATTATTACTACCGGACTCGGAGCTGTTTCACGCATGTACATGTTTATACTGATGTCACATCCACGTCTCCTTACCCACAACTTCCTATATATATACACCATACGCTGTCCAATTACACCCTTGTATCTCTACTCAACATTCCTCGAAAAGTCGGAGTAAGCAAGAACGATAATTTCTTGCCAAAAAGGACATCCCTCGCGGTCGGTTTTATCTAACAGTATCCTCCATGCGATGTTTCTCGATGTGCCGATGTGTCAAATATAACAAAATGGTCGCATGTGCTGGTACGCAGGACCACGCCTCCTGCCCTTTCGTTGTCGGCAGGCAGTCAGAGAGTGAGAGGGAAAGAACAACTTACATGGAGATAATCACAGACAGGCAATATAACGGGAGTCGGCAATTTATCACTGGATGATATGGAGGTCCTCAAAAGTTTATGGCGATCCCACGACGCTCAATCAGTTCCGAACACGTTTTGGAGGATTAGGATGCTTTCAGGTGGTCAAGAAAGCATAAAACTCGACATAGCCGAATTCGAGGAGAATAATATGGCACCAGGGCATCCCGGCGGCTCAAGGGAGGGGGACACGAGACACATATGCAGTCACGGCCTGATATTTTCAGGGTCCACGGGCGCCTGGAAGGTTCCGAAATAGTCAACTCTCACAGTCTTCTGGAAGGTAGAACATTCAGCTGATCCTGACATCGCTTTGCCGTCGTAAGTTCGAATGGAAGATCATTCGAGAGCACTGAAGATAAATATAGAAGCAAGAGTAGGCAGAGCAGCTGGGGCGGCCATGGGATGTCGCTGAAGTCAGAACTGGCCACTGCTTAGATCTGCTATCATTTTAAAAAGAGCAGATCGTAACAAGAAAGACTTTCGTAGGTCCCCAGGAGGTACGAATTAACTAGCCCAGATGCCACAACGAGCTAGCACAAAATGCCATGCTGAGAGATTATGTGCTGCTTGCAGTAAAATATCTTGAAGCCTCTGCATATATCGACATAGCCTGTCGAAAAAAAGTGGAAGCCTGACAGTCAAAACTCGAATGTTCTTGGAATACTCGGCAATGTTGAAGTGCAAAGAATGGTTGGAAGTCATCGGGCCGCTTCGCTCCGGCGTTGATAGCACCACGTGGGAGGCGGCACGGAGCCACAGGTGCAGGGATCAAGAGCGCTATTATTGACTCTTTCTTTCCTTTGGAAGCGAAGCAGGCAGGCAGAATAGTCTGGCTTGGAGCCGTGAACAGCTATTTAACCCGTCTCGTGAGTCGTTGAAAATGATTGCCTGATACTTATCTTTCCTATCTCTATTTATCAAGGTACGCTTGGCATTTCCTCTAAAAATCCATGCTGATTGTGGCATCCGTATTAGTCGAAGCAGTTATCTTCGCTGCCTAGTTGTTCTATGGCTGCTAGATGCATGAATGAGGTAGTCTTTCTCATAGCAACAGCACCCTGGATCCTGATGATATCCTTTGTGATGCACACCTTTACCCATAAGCGTACGTGCTCACAGCCTTTTCAGTGGTGAATACTCAGACGTGGTCAACCTCTTACTGAAGTCGGCAGCTAGGTCATCCCACTTCGAAGGCGTCCAAAGTGATTATAGCATAATGCAATCGAATATATCTTACAACATTTTAAGCCTCAAGCTTCAGCTATCGCATTCTTCTCGCTCTCCGACCAAGGCGGTGAATTTCTATGATCAGGATTGTGATCGTGGAGACATCCATGATTCTTGTGTACTCTGATGTATTCCATCGAGGATTGGGGAATCACTAGACGTAATCAGCCTTCAGCCCAGACCTCGACACAAGGATGGACGAACCTCTCTGTGAGTCTGCCAAAAACAGCTCATACAGGAGCACTCCAACCACCGTTGCTGGGACATTCGTTAGGGCAGCGAGAGCAGCGTATGAGCCCCCGGAAGCTGAAATCCTTTCAGTTTTCTGTTTGCCTCCAAGACTTTGGACGCACCTTTGCGTCCGTAAATGGTCAGTGCTGCTAACCTCCCCCCTACGTCACGCGCAGCATTTGCTGCCACTATATTGCAAAATCGTTGCGATCAGCCTTGGTCCTGTTCAGATGACAACATCGACCCTTACGTCCGGGAAAAGAAAATCCCCATATCGCCACGGCGCTATCAGACTTAATCAGCTTGGACAAGGAGGGACGAGGAGTCGCGCGCTCACTATCCCAAAGCGATCACGTATGGCTTTGCCTGCGGGGGTACCAGAATGTTGGTCGGATCAATAGAGCCCCATATCACAATGGCTAACATAACATCCTAGGAAACCGATTCGAGTTCATATTTCTGAACGATGACGCGGAGAAGGACATACAGCTACAAACTCGTTGAGGAAGACCTGGCCCATCTTCGCTCCCGGCAGAAGATACAATCCAAAAATTCCCGCGGGGGCCCTAGGCGTAAACTGTAACTCGGAAAAAGTTCCAGCCAGCATCATGGCTCCCTCTGCCTCGTCAAGCAGGTGCTTGTATTGGACATAGATCAATAGGCATGCGACGTATCCTCCGAGGATCTGTGCCACGATATATCTACGCAATCAAAATTAATGGAGCCCATCGTTCGAGGTCGGAGTACGGACCTGAGGCCTTTCATCTTCGGGAAGTCTTTGAACAGACAGCAGGCGATGGTAACGCTAGGATTGAAATGTCCACCGGATGTTCCACTGCAGAAGCAGATGGCGAAGACTATCCCAGAAGCATAGGCTACTCCGATCTGAAAAATTGCTAATGACAAGGTGACGACGGAGAATATAATCTATCAGTTGGTAACCTACAGGAAAGCCCTGTTTCTCCGATAGCATTTCCGACCACCCACGGCGCCGTTGAACCAACACCTGCATACAGCAGTCAGCATCAGGCGCACAAGGTCTATGTGTTGAAGACACTAACCTGCATAACAGAAGAAGAATACGCCCAGCTAACAATCATTGAGAGGTAAGCGTTCCGTATGACCCCCAAGTGAGCAAAAAAGACTGACAAACTCGGCAAAGCACTCTGCGAGCCAACGGGCTTTAGCATGTCGGTGTCGCTCCCATATCGTGAATATTTTTGCGGGGGGTTGGAAGTCAGCCAAGTGTACGACGTTGGGGTTAGCAGTGCCCGGACCATGGATCGTCATGCTGGGGAGTTTGAGTGAGGAAAGAATGTTATTTTACGAACCCATCTGCTTCCTTTATGTATGCGAAAGCAGACACGATCATGGGACTTGATTGGCCGCAACGTGAGGAACGTAACGACCCATGCGTGACATGTCTTATATCTGATCTTGGGGTAATCGATCATCTACAGTAAGTAGGAACTATCCAGAAGGTGATGATTAGCCTGTTTTCCATCGTGGTGTTCGATAGAAAAATTCCAGGAACCATCATGGACTCGGATGCTAGCAGTGAACGAAGATATTGTGTTCCCGGTAATTCATGTGCTAATTGATCTGAGCTAGGCAATCAACGTCTTCACCGCAAAAGATGAGATCAAGTGTCATAGATCCGCTGGTGGACGAGTAACCTGTCGCATACAAAGATTGCGAGATGGTGCGAGATGGTCATGAGCACTTCATCATGAGCATCTGGCATGTCGTAGTAGGCTCTTTGGCTAAGTAGCTTAAGTAGCTGATTTCATATGTGACATGTGGTACACATGAATGCTACTCGGAAGACAAAGACATAGAAAAAGGATAAGCAGCGCCCACAATCAACTTCCGATGGAAAATTGCGCCAGTATCGGTTGATAAATGCACTGGCCCTGGCGCTTGTGCCTGTGGAAGACCGTCTCGGAACTACTACCAGTAATATTAGCGAACTTTAAGCGTGTAAAAGGAGATGCCAAATGTGCTCACAGCGCACAAAGAAGAAGACGGTGCTATATGCGCCTCTGGAATCACAGCATCGCCTGGGAAAATATAGAAGTTTCATAAACACCCATTGGCTAGGAAACCAGGGCTTATCGGCATTCTCTGCTACCAATTGGGAGATATCCTTACCTGTTCAACATTCCTTTCGTAGTCTTCTAAAAGGCAAACATCCGAGAATATCGTAGATATGAAAAGAAGAGTTGTCGACGGAAAAGCTGGAATTCATACGTTATTTGGCCATTTCAGCAATGCAGAGTGTCCAATGGGCGAAGAACACCTGCACCCGAACACTCAGGATTATGATTTTCCTCCAGAGTCACCGGGATAGAAGCAGGAATTTTATGCTCAAACATTCTTCAAGTCTCTGTCTCTGCTAAATAAAGGTAAAGTATGTGAGAGTACTTGAAATAGAGCTAACGGCAGCAAAAGGAACGTTCATCGTGGGATACTCAGTCCTGCCATCGTAAAGCCAGCGGGAAGCGGATATTTGTAACGCTTCTGAATCATCGCAGAGAATGTAAAGCGGGTAACAAAGTCACGGGTCCAGATTTTCAGTACCTGGATTATTTTTGTGTTGTTTGCAGGAATGAAGGCGATACCGTACGCGGAGATGAAAACGATGCATGGTAGGAGGACCGCAAAGCCGAGCTCGTTCCGTAGACGATGCGACGAACTCTCTACAATAAGTATTCAAGCCGTTACAAATACAACAATTACTGGCGTAGTTTGGTAGCACCTTCTTTCCTTTGGAAACGAAGCAGTGCTTGGTAGACTCTGTCTTGTATGAGTGCAAGCCGTTCCTATCAATTTCTTGCTCGCGCATCGACGTTTTGGGGAAAATGAAGAGATATTGCCATGACCATCTAACCTATGTTATTGGCTATGCATCACATGCTTGTTATCTATGACAATAAAGAGGACCACAACCCTCCGAAACTCAGGTCCTAGAAATGGAACAAGGGGTTGTCAGGGTGGTGATGAGAAACATGTGCGAAAACAATGCGAGATCTCGAGCATTCCCCCAGCGGGATTCGTGAATGTGTGGTACCCCGTGTGGAAACTGTCGGTATACGTAGTCCATTTCATCAGTTTCACAGGTTGTATACATATAAGCTACTCAAAAGCAGGAGAAACATTGAAAGGATAAGCGGTCCCCATCCCTCAATTATCTTCCCATGAACAACCGCGCTATTCGCTGTTGGCATCCCTGCACTTGTGCCTGTGGAACTCGAGCGTCCACCTGTCTCAGAGCTACTACCAGTAATACTAGCAGAACTCGTTGCCAAGGCGACGCTAATTGTGTTCACAGCAGTACACAAAGAAGAAGATGGAGCAACATGTGCCGGCGGAGTCACCGGCTCGCCCTGGAAGAATGTAGAAGTTCCATATACCCCCATCGGCTACAAAGCCAAGATCAATAAACTTTCATTCGCAAGTAATTTTGAAAAATGCCCTCACCTCTCCACTATCCCCTTCACAGTCTTCAAAGGTACCTGCGGAGTAGTTTGCAGGCATGTTCCATTGACACCCGAGAACGTCGTAGATGTGCTGGCCTGTAAAATAAAATGACAATGAAGTATATATACGGAGGCTAAATAGCGTACACCACGTAGGAGCCATGTCGCCCGGTACACATGCACGAATGCAGAACATCTCGGAGGATATGAAGTTCTTAATGTTGGAGTGAGAAGTAACATCACCTTTAGTCGGTGTAGGACTTACCGTCCATTCATGCATCTGTTGAAGTTCACCAAACGCACTAGAAAACACGAGACCCCCGACGGGGTTGCCTGACCGATCCATTGGTTGAGTTTAAGCTTCCGCCGAATAAAACCCCAACATACCATTTCCATCCGCACCATGAGGATCCAACTCCCCGCCAGCATCACCTTCTGGGACGTTCAATTTCGTAAGGTCACCAACACCTAAAGGCTCAGGTTCGACATGTCAAGTATGAAATTAGTATCGCTTTTATACCTGTAACTTGCACAAAGTCGGGTGTCTTCACGAAGTGCGCTCCTGTAATAGTTCCTTCTGGTATCAGACGCGTACTGTAGCCGTCCTAGAAGCAGTGTATGAGCAATCCAAGGCTTGAGACATTGGATGGACGAACCTTGATGCACCATGAAATTACGATGCGCTGAATTGGATGTAACGGTGACGGTACAGAATATTAAACCTCGGATTCGCACCTCAGTATTGCCGATCGTAGATGCCGGCCCTGCCTCCGGAGGTCCGAAAACACACCTTTGTGGTTCATTAGCAAAAGAACGAGGGAGAGAAGCAGGAGCGACCACACCAGTCAGTTACGGAATTGACTGAGGGTACTTGAGTGAACGGCTCGGAGAAGACAACAGATTGCACGTACCATATACATTTTGGCACAGCGATGTTTGGTTTGAGGACGTTCCGCATTGATTTGTTCCTATAACTGAGAGTTTAGAAGTGATTGGAGCATCAAAACAAGAGCTCACGCACCTTCCTGCCCTTCTTCGGTTGTCGCTGGAACGTTATCGGGAAGGTACGTCGCACTATACGTCTGTGCTTGAACTGACGCAGAACAGAGAGTCAAGATGACTACCAAGACCGTAGAACGGAACGCCATCGATAGTGAACGCTGACGGACGTGCTTCTTATCGAACCCGCGCTTGCTAAGCAGTTCCACGCAGATACCAAGGTGGTTTTAGCGACACGCTGAGAACAGTACCAACCAATCAGAACGCGTCCGGGAGAGGAAGTTTGATACCGCTAGGTACCAAGTTGGCTCGGAATTCGGTGACAAGTTTAAGCACTCGAAGATGTCGACGAGATATAACTGTGGTGAACTCTGACGAACCAAAACTGGCTCTGAGAGAGAGGTCGCTGTCATATAAACTAAGCGTCGTACGGCTTGTATACCTGTTGATGATATACAGCATTAAAAGCGAAATCCCTATTGGCTTCTTCTAGACGCGTGTGAGTGCATTGCGAATTTGCGATATGTAAAGGCACCGAACACAACATCATGGGAAAGCTGCAAGGAAGGAGCTTTCCTGATTTAGTCTTGACTTAACAAGTTTTTCGAAGGTTATGGAGTTACTTGAGAGAACTTGGACAATCCCCTGATGAGTGGCCGTAGCGAAGGAAAGATCAATTTTCCTATTTTGGCGCAGGTGTTGGTGTTGTCAACCTAAGGAATCATCGACTTCTGTGCTCGGTTTGCTTGTATGTCGGAATAGGCTAAGATCTCGCAACAATGGGACTTTGATCTTCTGAAGTCAGTGAGCAGAACTAGTTCATTGTTCTCAGTCCTGAAAATATTTTAATTATATATAAGATAAGATACACGACAAGCATGTCTTAACGATGCAAAAACAACTGCTTTTTCCTCACCGCCTTTTCAATGGCACGATCGACTTCTTCTGCCACCAGAAGACACATTTCCCTGACTTTGTTCTCTTCAGACTTTTGCATAAAGTTCTCGCGCCCCCACATATCCAAATCGAATGCTTCTCGAATCCTCTCCAAACATTCAAGCTCCGTATCGACATCCTTAGGCAGAGGACAAAGTGATTCGGAGAAGCCCCCCAAAAATGACGACACCTCTGTCCTCCATGTCGGATCTTTACGCTTCTTACCGACATTCTGAAGCGGCTCCGTATCAACATCGTGAAGGCTAAGCGACGCGGAGAAAGTCTGCGAAAGTGACGGTTGTTCTTTCCCTTCCTCTTCCTCTTCCTCTTCCTTCCATTCGAGTTCCATATTGTCATCCACCTTGACGCCAGAGGAAATGGGCCAAGGGACGGCTGGGTGTTTGATGTCTTCGAATATGTCCAAGCGGACGTGCATGTCCAAGAAATCGATGTCCTGTGATAGATCCAACTTTGATGGATCCTTTGCCCTGGATATCCTCTCATGGATAAGCTCTGTTATCGTAACCAGACGCCGATACCGTTCTTTATATAAACAATCGTTATTAGGGTTTGGCTGTTCCTGAGGCTCCTCGGGCGATTTTTTGTGAGACTCGCTGAGATTCTGCAAATTCTCCATGGCCTGTTTTTCCCGTTCGCGGGAGCGGGCTAGCTCTTCCTTGACACGGTTTAGATCTGCCTCTCGTTGCAATGCCAGGGCTATCATCTGTGAGAGGTGGGCCGCATCCGATGGGGACGCCATAACCGTGTCGTTCGAGGGGCGTAAGCTGTCCACCTCCGCGAGCAACATCCGATTACGTTCCACGACCTCCATGGTGCCTTCTCGAGCCATGGAAAGATCTCCCTCCATCTCTCGTAGCACTGCCACTTGTTGTTCCAACGCCCTCCAAGCATCAGCCTTCCAACCCTGTAATCGTTCGACTTCTCCCGACAGAGTCTGATTTTCCACGATAAGCTGCATGCCAGCCTCCTTCATGAGGGACATTTCCTCATCCATCCTTCTCAGCATGGCCACGGCGATGCTTCTTTCTTCCTCAAGTATTCGCTGGTACGATTCATCCACAGGCGGCCGCATCTCCAGTTCTCGACATCGTTCCGATACCAGCTTTCCTTGGGAAAATGCTTCATTCAGTGCCGCGCCTAACCTTTCCATCTCCCTCTCCCTCTCCGCTGCAACTCGGCTGACCTCCTCCAGCTTAGATATCAACTTTTCCACCACGCGCTCATGACCTGTACGTGAATGCGTCTCCGCCTCTTGGCTTGCCGCTAGCTCCTTCGTCAACTCTTGCACCTTTCCCTCAGTTTCAAGGACTTCCTGTCGTGCCTTTTCCTCGGCATCAAGAAGTTTCTTTTGAGCCTCTTTCTCGGCGTCAAGGAGTCTCTTTCGCAAGGCAATAACAACCCGCATGGCGGCACTGGTGTTATTGACGAGCTCCGCTTGCTTGGAAGAAAGCATCGCACGGGCTTCAGTCAACTCCAAGTCCGTCGCGCCTAGAATATCCTTGGTCGCCTCCTGCTCTTTAGATAGCATTTCCTTCTCCTCTTGATCATCGTAGATTTTCCGACGAAGGCTGGCATTCTCAGCGCGGAGCTTGAGAAGGCCCTGCTCGACAGATCTGCACCGCTCAGAGAGCAGTCGTGCTGCCTTGTCCTTCCTCCGGTATTCGTCCGTCGCGTGGATCGCCTTCACGTTAATCCCAATCTCCTCATCCTTTCTCCGGATCTCTTCATCTTTCCTCCTGATCTCCTCCTCCATCAGGCGTATTCTTTCATCCTTCAGGCCAATCTCCTTGTCCTGTATCTGGATTCTCTCGGTCTTGTCCCGAATCTCTTCATCCTTCACCTTCGCCGTCTCCTCTTTGTAAAGGTCAATCCGCCCTTCCAGGTCTTTGGCGCGTTCCTCCGTTTCCCGAGCACTTGCTTCTGCTTTGCGCCACTTGTGCTGATTTTCGGCGACCTTGTCCCGTAGCAGGCGATATTGTGAAGGGTAGAGGCGCTGGGGGTCGTACCAACGACTACAGTGCAGAGGGCATGCACTGCATGCAGACTGTTTGTTGAGTGGCTAACGACGATAGTCAATGTTAAGGACGTAGACAGAGAGAAGAGAGGCTCACATTTACTGACGTTGCGTGAAAGACAAAGCCGTTTTCAAAATCGAGACCCTTATATGGCATGGCCGATTGGTGTTGTCGGTGTGGGTGAGTGGCAATGGAGTATATGTGTGGCGTTGAGCTAAAGACGGTCAACGTCAGAAGCTGGAGGAGGAAGTGGAAGCAAAAAGAGATGTACAACTGAGATATAATATTTCGAGGACCAGGACCTCGACGACGTGAGGGAAAACAAAGTATTAAATAGGCGAACAATAAGAACAGTACAAGGGCGCCACATTCGGGCCTTCCGAAATATGATTTTCTCAGGGGCCTCTTTTGTGATCGAGGGGGAATTATTGTCAGAGCCTGGTCGTGGTAGAAAATGGTTCGGGGGTATCTGTATCTCTGATATTCATACATCCGTCGTTGCTCACTGAGAATCGTGCCAGTTCAGAAACGAAAAATACGTGGAGAGTCAAAAAAATGACAAGAGCGTCTATTGAGTGATGGCCCTGCATCATAAAGATCTTGCATTGTCTAAATGGATACAGTCAGTATCGGTCAACCAACAGGATGCCGTAATCCTCGGTTTGGATTTCCACGTACCCCAGAAGGGTTGGAGAAGGCGTTTGCCAGTAGAAAAGCCGAAGAAACCTTGTTCCGAAGCACGACAATTCTGATCCATCCACATTGCTTAGGCGCGTGCGCTGAGCTGGACTGTGTTATAAGGTCAGATAGCGAATGGCAGTACGTTAGATATAAAGCCTAGTCTAAGGCCTTGAGCTTGGCCTCAAAATCGATATCCCTTTTAGAATATACGTATGTTTTTGAATCGTTGAAGAGCTTACTGAGACGGCATATACAAAGAAAAGAAAAGTCATGGTCCTAGATTCGCAGTGCTTTATTGGTTCATTTGAAGGGTGGAGGCTTGCAGGTGGTAGTATAGAAGGGAGATGGAAAAATCTGGCGCGGAGTATCGGACCGTAGAACCGGACCGTTCAAAATACGGTTGGCTTCATTGATACAGTTTGTTTCGTTGCCATCATCGCGACGGTGAACCATCATTGTACGCCCACATCGACAAACATGACATCCACGTCGATGGTGGACATGCGCATTGTTCTGTCTGAGAGCTGAGAGGATGGAGACTATATCCCTATCCAGAGGTGGAAGACTGGATTGCTGGTGTGCGTCGCCTGTTGTGTTTCTGAGCACCAACTTTTTAATGCAGATTTCAGAACGATACGGATTACATGTCTTCGCCATACCTTTGATATGCGCCCAGGCTAGCCCAGGTCTCTCCGGCAATGGTCCCTTCCGCCATTCGCCTTTTTTGTCAATTTGAAGTGCAAATACCCTGTAAAATGTCACCAAGGCCGCATACCCAGGAGAGACCATGCCTCAGCTGCTGAATAACCGACAGAATTACTCCGTTTCGGAAGCTCTTCTTTCAACGGACCACCGATGACTGTCTGATACTCAACGTATCTGTACTATAGTGGATGTCTGCGGTGTTCACGGTTACACGGTCGTTGATTAAAGATTTTAGTGATCGGAGACAAACTGATAGTACTGGAAAGGTTAGTATGATGACCTTGAGGATGATGCCAATGACACTCACATTTCGACGTCAGATATTTATCGACGCGACGACGAGGCACGTATAGCTTTGTACCGTGGAGCCAACTTTTTTTCAGTGTACCTCCCTATCGTTACGGTTGCATCCGTAATGGTATGGTCCACACCACTAATCAGGGTCTCTTCTAAATGCATCGACGAACGGCCGGCGTCGTCTACTATGGGCTTCTTCATTGCGAAGTATATCGTCATCGACAATCCATCAAAGACGGAACTCACATAAGGTGGTGGTACCGGCACAAGGTCCCACCAATGAGCGTCACCTCCACAGTCCTGACATGGCGAGCCATGTGCTGGTGTGCTGAGGCTCGTCGCCTTGGAATCCTTATACATCACATCTTCATGACCATGTGACCTTCGTTACTTCCCTTTTCTGTCTGTTTGTTCACTTCTCGACAGACACAATTGGACCCTATAAGAAGGGCAAGAAAGACGTGGACTCGAATGCACCACCTATGCCTTCCCAACAATTAGTCTGGCTCATAACGGGGACTTCGTGCGTCATTTCGTACATTCACGACTTTCAAATCAACATGCTTTTGTAGATCTGGCCTCGGGCGTGAGCTCGCCATCGCTGCTCTACAGCGCGGTGAAAAGGTTATCGCCACTGCGCGTGGGCGTTCGTTATCGCAGCTTGAGGATCTCACGGTCCTCGGTGCAAATGTACTGGAGCTGGACGTAACTGCGCCCTTGGAAGAACTCCGTGCTATTGCGAAAAAGGCCATCGATATTCACGGTAGAATCGATGTGCTCGTCAACAACGCCGGTCAGTTACCTTGAGTCTGGCTTGCAGTGACACGTAGCTAATTGTATATCAGGGTATGCTCTATTGCAATCCGTTGAAGAGGCAACGTAAGTTTTCTCTGTAATAGATATGATGTCCGCTTATGTCTTCATTCCCACTAGGCCTCAAGAGACCCTGAATCAGTTCAAGTAATTTACACCTATGTGCCGTTATTACTCTTTCATGTATACTATTGCAGCACCAACGTCTTCGGGCCTCTCAACGTAGCAAGGGCTTTCCTTCCGTACATGCGTGAACGACGAACAGGAACCTTTGTATTTCTAGGTTCTATAGGTTCCTGGACGTGGGTACCCATTTCTCAACACGGAAATGTGCGATGCTTATAGCTCATCCTCTAGCCCGCAAGCCTTCTCCGGCCTGTACAATGGATCAAAGTTTGCGATTAGAGGTGTGACGCTTCATAGATTCCGTTGGATATCAGCTAATCAAATTCTCCAAGGCATATCTGAATCTCTCCACCAGGAGATTGCACCATTGGGCCTTCGTAGTGTATGCTTTGACTTTGGATTCTTCCGCACCAACTTTCTCTCTCCTGGACATCGCGTACTGGGAAAGCCCAATATCGCGGGGTACGAGGAGATTGCGCATGGTGCAGAGGCATTCTGTCAAGGTGAATATGATAATCCCCACCAATGCTCAAGACTAAATGTCCCTTGGTAGCATACGATAGACAACAACCTGGAAACCCAAAAAAGGGTGTGCGAGTTGTGCTTGACGTAGTAAGGGGTGAAGGTGTCGCAGAAGGCAAGGCGTTTCCAACAGACTTGCTCCTGGGAAGCGATTGTAGACGTGCTGTTCGGGATGTCATTGAGAAAGCAGTGGCCTCTCAGGAAGAGTGGGATAATGTTACTACCAGTACTGATATTTGAATCACAGAATTTTTACCGAGTCACACATTATCGAATCACTCGCCTGCAAATGTGCATGCTTTGCTGCACTCCCGTGAGGATTTTTTTTGTGTGTGTGTGTGTGTTTTCAGTAGCATTTCTCTGTGTCTATGGACTCGTTCTTGGAATTCTCCTCTGCTATGTTGTCAAAAGTATGCTCTAAAGATATTTGCGACTGTCCTTTTCGTAACAATCATGCATGGACAGGGTCTTCCAACACGTACCTCATTGTGAACATTGTGGCTAGTTCAATCATCATGCTGTCTGTAGGAGCACTGATCAGGCATTACCGACACAGATCAGGGCGTTATCAAGTCGCGTAGCTAATGGCTATTCCCTACAATGAACATCAGGCCTTACTATCCGCCACTGAAGGCCCTTCTCCCGTGCCCCACTTTCATCGGTATCAGGAATCCTCTGGAAAGTTTCCTCGGGAATATCTTAGACATCCTTATCGAAGTGAAGAGGTCTCATGTCACTCTCTTGTGTGGATCTTCTACACGACTCGATACAGTCAGCGCTATTTTTGGGCGGGAGGGGACCAGGGGAGTTTGTCGGATTTCATTCGTGGGATGTTGCAAAAACCAAACGGCCATCCGGAGAGGGTGCCGTTACAAGGAAAGCGATGGAACGTGTGAAGGGCAAAAAAACGCTCCAGAATCGTAGCAATAAGAGGCCGCAAAGTCTCAGCCTCGAGCTTGGTGCTGGAGATGTAGCTCCAACCGGGTCAATAGAATGAATCGCAATTGAATGAAAAGTTTGTTAGGTGACGCTCATGTCAGTGCAGATGTAACAAGTGTAACTTTGAGCAATGGGTACTAGCTCCCGTCGAACGACAATTCCTTGTGAGTTGTGTAATACTGTCTGGTATCGTATTGTGGATACGAGCAGTCTTCATAATCATTGGAAAGCTTGGCCGTCCAAACAGAAATCGTTTCATAGAAAAGAATAAAAATAGTGACATCGTCGAAGGACGGGAAAATAATCGGTATACAGATTGAAAACTAAACGATCTACTCAACAAAATCTGGTGCAGAGGAACGACTCGCGGTAAAAGGATGCCTTGTCAAGTACATCAAGGTCTCAATGCAGTTACAGACCGGAAAAGTGTTGCCATAAACACAGTATAATTACCCATCCTGACCAGCCCGACCGCTGCGACGTCCTGATGAGATCCTACCGCGAAGACTTTCGTTCACGCTGTCCTCACATCACCTCGCTGACAGGTCTATAGGATTGGGGACCAGTCATTAATGGAGCTGAGAATCGATAGTGGAGCACGGAAGAGACACGAAACGAGAATGCCTGAACAAATGGCAGGAATGGTCAGACAAATATCAGCAAAAATTATTCACCTCCACACCTAATCACGTTGTGTCTTCAATGATGTCCCATCCGTCCTCGTCCATCTCTGGCAACTTCTCGACCCTCTTCCTCGCCTTATGTGCGCGCACTCTCGATGCAGGATTCGCAGTGGTCGCCTGGAGGAGCTGCATGAAATCCAAGCCAAACCCAGCTGACGTAGGCGGTGGGAGAAACGGGTTCGTCTCGTGAGATCTCCTAGGTGCAAAGTCTAGCTAGGCAATAGGACAGATGACTGTACGCACTTTCCCAGCTCGCTGCTACAACAGACACTCCACAGGTTACTCAGAACATCACCTGCTTGGTTGAGGGGGACATCGACGTTTTGGGTGTAGGCGAGGTAGGAGACATTGTATAGGAGCATAGCTAGGGCCGTAGTAAACGACGCTTGTGGTTCGGGATCTGGCTCGAGGTAGGATTCTGACGTTATGGGTATGCCCTTGGTACCAGGAGGGGGAGTAGTTGACAATGTAGCCGATGAGAGATGTAGGGGATGTTTAGTGTGCCATCTAATTATGAGTCAGGATGTCAGTGTACCATATGAAAGGAAGCGAAGAAACATACTTCACCCAGCCACCATGTTCACTCCCCTTACCGGCACCAATCCACGGCTGTCCTACGCCAAGTTTATTCCCTGTCCAATGGATCTCAAAAGGGAGCTTGACTCCGAGGTAGAGAGTAAGAAGCGAGATGAAATGTATCGTGTGGGTGATGACGGCATTTATATGGTCAGGTGGATAACCTGGAAAGGATTAGGCGGTAAGACAAGAAGAAGAATAATCCATGCTCACGCCGTATATCACCTGGGACTGGTAGAATGAGGTCACCGATGGTCCATTCGCCCTTTGTCCCAGCCTTTCCCCCTATGGGCGGGCGGCCCCCCACCTCTACGACATTGAAAACTTCGACCAGTTCTTGAACGAGCCCAGAACGAGCCTTGGCAATGGTAACCGACAAGGCTTTGAGTTCTTGAGCTTTACGGGTAGCTTGATGTGCAATGCTGGGCTGTGGTTGGACTTTGGCAGCGGATAGTGTCCGTCGACGCGTAGCGAGCGTTTGGCGCAGCGTTCGAAGACGATCCCGCTCTGCCAAAAGTCAGTCTAGCCCTCAGATATTCAAATATCAGCATACTCTTCTCGTTATCCTTTCGCAGTCTAGCAAGCACGTTCATCAGTTCATCCACACGGTTCTGGATGCTGGAGATGTTTGCACGGCGGAGTCGAGAAGCATTGAAACCATCGAGGGCCCTAGATGACTTCGCCACCTGTTCATCGCGGTCGGCAGCGAAATGTTGCGTTTGGATGCAAAAGTCACGGATGCTAGAATCTGTAGTAAGCCAAGACTCAAAGGACCATGATGAATCGTACTGCGTCTTGAGGCAATTCTCGCAATAGAACTGTCGCTGCTTCAGCTCGCATATCTTGCAGTCCATAGAAATTTTCCTTGCGGCATGTAGATTGGTGGTGGTGGTGGTACAAAGGTAAGCGGAACACGTGGTCTGTATTTGATCGACGCACAAACTTGTATCAGCGGCAGTCAACAAGTTCCAATGTTCGGTGTCCTATAGAAAATCATTTCTAGGAGACCCACAGAAAGAAAACAGGGCCACGATAGGTTCGGCTACCAGCATCACAATCGGCCTAAGCAAAGAGATCTTCAAGGTCTCGAAGAACGGGACACGTTCGAGCTCCTCGAGTGTACGGTAGCTCTCGTCTCCCGTAGACTTCCGTAGCTTCTCAACTTTACGACGGAGAAGGAGAGGTGCCAATGTTTCAGGAATGAACAACGTGAAGGCAAAGCATACACCAGTGAAGATGAAAAGGACCCAGTCTACAAGTAAAACGTGAGAATGGAGATCGAACAATGACAAGGAGCATCGTACAAATCCATCTCCAGCCAGCTTTCTCGGCAATCCACCCTCCAAAGAGCGGTCCAAGGCAGGGGCCCATACTATAAAAGCGGATGAGGATCAGAACTGATCGCAGCAGCTTATGGCTCACAATAAAGTAAACGAGAACACCGCCATAGGGACTCCTCGCTCCTCGACGGCCCAAATATCGGCCACACTGTAGATACGGATCGTCAGGAAACACAAAGGATACCAGAAGGCCGATCACTGACGTTCCGCCCACATTACATATCGGCGCAGAGGCCGCCAATCCCGCAATCTGACGGGCAACAACTAGTGTGGCCATGTTTTTTGACAGAGCACTAGGCAGCATGAAAATGAAGAAGAAGAAGATGCTGACTTGGTACATCAGTGTTCTGCCCACTACTTCTGATAGCGGGGCAAAGAATAGTGGTCTATGGATCATGTCATGTCAGGGGTGGGGAATGAGCATGGAGCATCCAGATAACCTACCCAATACCAAAGGCATTATTCTTCTTCATCCTGAAACTGTGATGATACAGCCTGGCCCCACAGACAGGCCCCCCAGATCTCCCTTTGGAAACTTGTGTGCACAGGTTTGAACCCTTTGGTACTTGTGGACAGAATTGTGACAGGTTTCTGCTTAGAGCACAAAGCTTTAAGTCATGTATTGTGTATTTAGGGATTTTGATTTGATCTGAACAGTGATTGGGACTTTGTGAGAGCTTTGAAGTATTGTATTGAGCTACAGTACTCTTGCCTTGAGGCTCAGTGATACTGGTTGCCTCCTCTTGTTTAAACAAAAGCTTTAAGACTTAGAGAGATCTCAGATCATTGTATGTATGCTATTGCTATTTGTGTGTAGTGGGTCATTGAGGAGACAATTATATTTGCTATTACTACTCTTATCACATTATAATCTCCCAATGTATTGTATGTGTGTTGGTATGGATGTAATCAGTGGATAGTGCTCTGCTGTATCACTTTTAGGAAGGGGAACTGTCAAGATTAAAATGGTTGAAGGGGAAAAGACCACTCCAGTCACACTAAAGGAGTGTATCCACTGTCCTGATGCATCATTCAATCTTATGTTGATAGGGCACATTACAGATGCTGGATTTGAACTCAAATTCAAAGAGTCCAGAATGGATATTATCTCACCACATGGCAAAATAATCAGCCATGGAGATAAAATATCAAAGCTGTACAGCCTTGATATCATTGTTCCAGAAATAACTCAGGCCCATGCTATAAAATCAGCCTGATCATGGCAAAAGTGGCACAAAACATTAGGCCACTTAAATATGGGATCAGTAAAGAGACTATTTAGGAAGAAAATGGTCAAGGGGATGGATATAGATGAGTCAGCCAAGCCTCAGACAGATTGCATAGCCTGCATAAAAGCCAAACATCATACCAAGCCATTTCCACAGGAAGCTGAAAGAGACTATACTGAAATAGGGGAAATGACATTTTTGGATCTATGGGGGCTGGCCTGAACTCAGGGTATTCATGGTGAAAGGTATTACATAAGCTTCACAGATGGGAAATCCTGAAGGACAATGTTGTATTTTCTGAAGTCAAAGCAAGGTATGGAAATTCAAAAGAAGATCCAGCAGTATCAAAAATACATCAAAGTCCACAAAGAGAAGGATCTGAAGTTTATGAGGATTGACAATGAAAAGGAATATGTCAATAAAGAGGTAAAAGAATACCTCCAGGACAATAGCATACAGTTGGAATTGACTGCAGCATATTCTCTATCTCAAAACAGAGTTGCTGAGAGAATAAATCAGACCCTTGTAGAGTATGCATGCACCATGCTAGAAGAACATCACTTACCAAAGTTTCTATGGCCTGAGGCAGTAGCATATGCTACATACTTGAAGAACTGATCACCAACCAGGGCCATCAAAAATGATCTAACCCCAGAAGAAGTGTTTCAGGGCATGAAACCAGATATTTCAGCACTTCAGAAATTCAGAGTAAAGTGCTGGGTGTTGCAACAAGATAACAAGAGGTCAAAACTAGACCCAAAGTCAAGGGAATTTATTTTCACAGGTCTTACAGATGAATCCAGGGCCTGGAGATATTATAACCCTCAAACCAGGCAGATTCAGACCTCAAGAAATATTATATTCTCTGAAAACAACACTACAGAGCCTATAGACACTGACTATGTAGTCTTCCACCCTTTATTGCTTGAGAGGGAGTCAGAGAGCAAAGTTGAGCAGACTCTGGATGGAAATGATGGCATTTTGGATGATTCTGTGGATACCAGAAATGTCAAACTAAAAGAGGAAATAGCCTCTGATATGTCATCAATCAAATCAAAGTTCCAATATGGCATGGGAAAATGATCAAGCCACATGACAAATTGGCTCAGATCACATCAAAGACCCAACCGAGTTACTGGACACTTTATAATCCAAGTGTATGAGCTGTGAAAACATTGGAACAACAGCATACCTCAGAAGAATCATCTTTGGAAGCTGTAAATGTTGCAATAGACTATGCATGCATTGGAGAAACTGCAGACAACCTCAGTGATGAGCCATTAAGCCTTGAAGAAGCCAAGACAAGGCCAGACTGGCATCATTGAAAGAAAGCAATGGATGAAGAATACAATCTATTGACTTCTCTAGGCACATGGCAGCTGGAAGAATTACTCAAAGACAGATCACTTGTGGATTGCAAGTGGACTTACAGATTGAAAAGAGATGGTGATGGGAAAGATTGCAAGTGGACTTACAGATTGAAAAGAGATGGTGATGGGAAAATCACCAGATACAAAGCCAGACTTGTTGCAAAAGGATTTTCACAGGTACCTGGCATTGATTTCTTTGAGACATATGCACCTATTGTCAGGCTGGACATATTCTGCCTACTCATAGCAATTGCTGCTCAAAGAAATCTAATCATTCATAGAATGGATGTTGTTGGAGCTTACTTAAATGGTAAACTCAATGAATCCATTTACATGGCACAGCCACCTGAATATTCAGATAGGAGTGGAAAAGCAGCATACCTCAAATTAATGTTGTATGAACTCAAGCAATCTGACCAAGTTTGGAATGACAAATTAAATGCTATATTTTTGGGACTTGAATACATCAGATTGATCAGTGATCAATGTGTGTACATCAGACAAATGAGTTCTGGTCCCATAATCATAGCTATACATATCAATGACATGACACTGCTTGCTCCAGATGATGAAACCATGTCTAAAATGAAAGAAGAGCTTAAGAAGAAGCTAAATATCACAGACATGAGAGAGATTCAATATATATTGGGCATGAAGATAGACAGAAATAGGGACAAGAGCACTATCACTCTATCCCAGAAGGCATATATTCTCAAAGTACTTGAGTGAATGGGCATGAATGACTGCAAACTGGTCAAAATACCTATAGACCTGAATGTATGGCTAGAGAAAATTCTGACAGAAGATCCATGAGGCATTGATACAGCCACTAGGAAATATTACCATACTGGTGTCAGATCACTAATGTATGTGGCCAATGGATCCTGGCCTGACATTGCACATGCTGTCACTGAATTAAGCAAGTATGTGCAGAATCTGGCTGCTGAGCATATCACAGCCTTAAAGCAAGTTTTCTGCTATCTGAAGGAAACTCTAGACTTTGGAATCACATATAGAGAGACTATAGATGAGCTGATACCTTATTCAGACTCAGACTGGAGAGAAGAAAGTATTGGGATTTTGCTGAAAAGTTCTAGAAAGGGCAATCCAGCATCATGCTGAGAGTTGATGAGTAAGCTTGAGAGAAAGAGAAAGTTGTAGTAAATTCTAGATATAAGTCTGAAGAGTATAAATACAAGCTCTGTAAGAGCTGTAGAATAAGGAGTTCATACCTTCTGACCTTACCAGCCTGGAGTCTACCCTGCACATCACTGAGGATTTCCAACAGACAGAACAGATAGAAGATCAACATCTGGTTATGTCTGTACTTATGCAGAGGGAGCTGTTACTTGGAGTTTAAAGAAACAGCCCACTGTAGTCTTATCCACTATGGAAGCAGAATATATGGCCCTCACACACACAATCTGAGAAGTAATTTGGCTATGAGCACTCTTAACCAAATTAGGATTGCCACCTTATAAAGCAATGACTATTTTCATTGACAATCAATCAGCAATCAAATTTGCTGAGAACCTTATATTCCATGCACAATCAAAGCATATAGACATATAGCACCACTTCATTCATGAGTGCATGGCTTCAAATGAAGTCAAAGTTCAGCACTGCACATCAGAAGAGAACTTAGCAGATATATTCATTAAAGGCCTACTAAGACCATTATATGAGTATCTATCTGTAGGTATTCTAGGAACTCAGAATTGAGGAGGAGTGTTGGGATAGCAATTCCAAGTGAGTATGAGAACATACTCAAAGATACAATGCCAGTCAGCAGCAGCTGACTTGGATTGTGATCAGAACTCATTTAGTATTTTGTAGAAAGATCTCAAAGTAATATAAAATGTATTTAAGTAGAATGTTTCTCTCTTGAGAGGCTAATTCTAATCCTCTGTACATTACTCTGCTCTCTACTTACAACATATTCTGAATCTAAAGTGAAGAAGACTGCTATGTTAAATCATAATAGTGGTCAGAGATACTGAAAACAGCTATACCTTAATCAAAATATGTGATATCATTTGCTGAGGATTTTTTCACTTATTCTGCTGGATCTTCATCTTGTGGTAGATGCCAGATGGTTGATATAGATTCTTCAGATAGTATCTGGGGAGTGGAACAGAGATGTCTCACTTTTGTAGATAATAATATCAGGATGCTCCAATACTGATATTTCTGGTCCCTGGCAACACATATAAGGCCAATGGCAATGACAGCATAGAGTGTAACCCACAAAGAGATACTCAGCCTGAGTTAGACCATATAAATCTTCTCAAACTCCCACACAGAATTGTCTATGTCACTTCACATCCACTGTCTGAGAGCAGAATATAAAAGTCTGCATCAACATAGAACAAGATGGCACCTAAGTACAAGCAGATATTTAGTTCAGAATCTGAGGATAGATATTGATTCAACACACCTCTGTCAGATCAAATAAGATAGACACTGTTATGATTTTTTCCATTTCCTTTCTTGATTGAACCCCTATTTATGCTTAGTCAGGGCACTTAAGACCATAGAGATGGGCTTAGTCACCATAATAGGCCAAAACAGTCATTGTCCTCTGATGCAATGACACTCCTTGATGATAGACAATGCTCTTTTGTAGAACTTGTGATGCTCAAGAACAACAAGCATTATAGCTTAGGATTGCACAATTAGTAGATGTATATTTATCTCAAGGACAAACAGTATATAAGTAGGATAGCTCTTGCTGTGTATCCCCAGCTTCAAGCTAAAGTTTATTCTTCACCACTTCATCTTGAGCTGACTGTCTTTGGTCTTGAAGCATTAGATCAACAGATGCACATAGTGAACTCTGACATGACTGTATGAACTTGATACAGCATCAGTTTATCATATGTTTAGATCATGTGCAACTTGAGCTTAACAATTAGCTTAAAGCTTCTGCTTCTCTTTCCTTATGCACACTAGCATGAAGGAAACCAAATGCCACCATCAACCACATCAACCTCTGATCTAACAGATGACTTTTTTAGGCTTTTAGCCTCTATCATTGGAACACTCCTCAGACTCCTCACCATCATTCAACTTGGTTGAGGATGACAATCAGTAACTGCCTGGGTAGTCCAGCACTACTATACTTTTAAACAAGTACAACATCTCCTATAAAATGTCACACCAAACCTCCTCTTCCACAACATCCCAGTCTCTATCTGAGCCTCCTTCCAGCCCACATTTGGATCTGTACCTGAAGCTCAACCTGGCAGCATAAGTCTGTGAGTTTATACAGAGAAAGAAGGACACTGATACCCTTTAGGACCCCACTGACCAGACAGCAGAAATGGCCACACTCAGCACACTGGATTTAGAAACCCATGGACATGGCCAATGAACCTCTCTCCAGTCCCAGACCATAAGAACAAGGACCTCCCTGATGACTTCTTTGATGCTGAGCCATCCTCTGACTCTTTCACCACCTCTCCTGAGCATGAAATTAAAGATTGTGCCAGGAACTCTCTTGATGATCCTAAGGTGGCTTCAAGCTCTAGATACAGCTCCCTCTATGTGACCCCAGAAAGAAGTCCTACCTCATCTGTCCATACCAACTATGAAAGTGGAGGACTCTCAGACTTTAAAACAAACAGTAAGAACTTTCAGAATAGAGTGCTCTACAGGCACCCTGAGTACAGAAGTAATATTGAACAGGCCCTATGACCTGAACACATTGAAGCAGAACATGCCTGCCAGCAAGAAGAACATGAAGCCACTCAGTATAATGCAGAGTATAGAAGGTGCCAGTGCAAGCTTAAGGCTGCCACCTGAGAATCAGCTGCCTCAGAGTAGTATAGGCTCAGATCAGAAACCATGGGATCCCCATTCCAGGAGCCCAGTATAACAGAAACAGACCCATGGACAGGATCAGCAGAAGCTGTTACCTCCATTGAGACAGCATGGTGAGATATCTACTCCCCTCTCCCTAGAAATATTGATACCACCAAATGAGATACCATTCTCTCAGATACTGAATCCATCCTCAATGCCTACAGACTTTGAGTCCCTTCCAACATCTGTGTCAGTGACTATAGCCTCTGACAATTTCTTGGTGGAAGAGTTGCAGAACTCTTTTTCAACCCCTACTTTTATCAAAACTTCTGCCAGTATTGCTGCAAACTGGAGGAGCAAGGAGCATGCAGCAGAAGGGATGCTAGAGACAGATCTGGCCAACCTCAGCAGCAGTCTCCTCCTAGAACCAGTCCCAATGCCACTGGACTCAGCATCCAGAATCCAGAGCAGCTCTTCCATGATGATCAGACCTCACATCCTATCAATTTATGACCAGCCCAACAGCTACCTCACCAAGGACAGTGAGAAGGGTGCAGAGGATGAGATAGACAAGGAAGATGAGAATGAGGAGCTGGATCCACTGCTTAAATGGGGGGACTGAGAACAATGCACAGAGTCAACAGATGAAGAAATACTTGAAGAAGAGATACAGTATGAATGGGAGAAAGAATATTTAAGGCTATACTGGGAAGAAGTAGCTATTTTATGGAGGGATGTTGGCTGGCTAATGACACCTCTAGGACAAGAGTATATGATCATGGCTGATATTGAAAAAATTGACATTTTACAGTATGCTACAACTGAGCAAGTGATTTTTATTTATAACAAGAAACACCTTGAAGACTTACTGAGGAAACTCTCAGCACACAAATCCAAGCATAAGGTTCAGCCAATGCCATGGACCTCATCAGTCACTCTGAAATGAGCCATATACATAGCACCATCCATCTGAACCACCATCAGCATCTGATACACCTACTTGACACCATCTATATGAAGCTCCACTAATCAGCTTGCTCAATCATGATCTCAGCTGGTTAGCCAACTCACTGGATTCCAAAATCCCTGGACCAGCACAGGAAGCTGACTTCTTGGCAGACAACCCCCACCTGATGAAGTCGGGATATTTCTATTGGGTACGTGTTTTTTTAGCTAGAAATTTATTGCCTAACGGAACCTAGTTTGCTGTAACGATCAGAGCATCAAATCTAATGGGGAGGATGTGGGATTATATGCGGCGTCCATGCTGGCAGGAGACGTACTGCGGGACTGGTACGTACCTCACCTCTTCTTTAGCCAGACACAGGACCTCACTTTATTCTTTCTTCTCTGACGCGCAGGGCTCATCATATTTATCATACTGGGCTATGGATCCACCAACAACCTTCTCATATCTTTCGGGAGCTTAGGAATGACTTGATGGCCCAATGCGTAGCCCACCTAACCTGAAGGCTAGGACCCCAGCATAGTTGCGGTCCGTACTCGGGAGGCAAGAAGGACGTCCAGTCGTTAACTGTGTCGATGGCTGGGCCTGGCGCAGGTACATCTTTGGTTGCTGCCTTTTTGCTGTTGTTGAACCCCCTCAGGGCTAGCTCTATGTTTCTCATGGACCCTTGCCAATGTGTATGAGGTAGTGGCACGGTCATATGTCGCTCTCACTTCGGCCTCTGCAAGCTGTTGTCCAGGACCTGGAAATGATACAACCATTATCCGGACGAGCGGTATAAATTCGGTGGGACCACATTTTCCCTCAGGCGATAGACTGGATACTAAATGACCTCTCAGTCACCAATCTGCCATGCTCCTTGATTTTGATGGCAAAGTACTTACCACGCTCCATCATCTGGCGGGAGACGTGGATCGTCGCAACAACAAGCGTTCGTCTTCATTTAGAGAGACGTATGCTTCATGCATTCGACGTACCGGGTTCTGGATCCCTCTTCGTGTACGTCGTGGGGACATTAACGATGTGCGAATAGAGGATTCCTGCTGCACTGGCCGATACCTAGTGGTGTGTGTGACGACTTCTCGCATAATCTTCTGCGAAAAGATGCTTGTGGGTCTTTGATACTTGTTTTATTCTCAAAGAAGGCTTACATTTCCTATCAGAGCAATCCCCAGCGTCTCTCATTCTGCCTATGATGATCGTGAAACCGATGGATGCTTTATTTGAGCAGCTAACAGATAAAATCAACCATCACCTATTGAACCCCCATATCGCGCCCCGTTTCCCTTTAGCGGCGTGCCGTCACTCCTACGGATTAACTTGAAGATTTTGGCAAAGATCCAGGAAGATACGGGGGATTCAAAGAGTGCTTGACCCACGAAAATGCTGCGGCTCCAATCCGTCTAGTATGCCTATAATAACATGTTATCTCCAATCCGCTGAGTACTATCAGAAGGGGGAAAGTTCGGATGATAGCTCAATTACAAGGCACGGGTCCGATGCGAGTTCTACTTTTGATCCACTTTGCTCTCCTCCAGCACGCCACCGTTTGTCAGCTATGGTCGGGAGCGATACATCGACGACTTGGTGCACTTAAGCTTCCGTCCTGTCCGAACGTTTGTATGTCATGCTGCCACAACACAATTATGTCGACGAATTGACCGGATACCCCCAACCATCGGTTGCTGCTTATATCAAAGCATCGAATATCGAGAGAGATATTAACGAAGAATTACGAGGAGACGACATATAGCCGCAAGAAAGGAAATGTGACAATGTCACCGGGGTATGTGATTTCGCGTATTTATCTTTATGGGTAATTCATGACGTAGTCCAATAGTGAGATATTGCGAAGGAAGTGGGATTAATGTATCTCGGGAGAAGAAATACCGCTGTTCCTTCCAATTTTCGTGCGGTGTTAGTCAAAACGGCCATGAGATCGTTTTCAACGATGGTTGTATCGACAATGTAGAGGAATTATCGATCAAAATTCATTACTGAGAGGAGGATAATGATCTGGGTATAGAGTCACATGTTCATTGTATTGAATATGGTGTAGCGGCTAGCGTTAACGTCTTTTATTCGAGTGTTGTGAGTGCACGCAGTGGCTTGGGGTTAGATTCCCGGTATCCGAATGCTGCGGAAAAAAGTCTGCTTTTCTTGAATCCATAGAGATGATCCAAACATGTTTTCCATTTTATTTTATCGACATCAAACATTGAAATCATCACGAAATCAGCAGGTTCGAATTTCCCTATTTACTATTCTTTGCCATGGTGATAAATAGGAGGACGTTGTTGAAGCCAGCACAAGATCAAATCAGAAGTATCTGTTATTCAGGCAGAAATGGACAGATAATAAGATGAAGGCAATTATTGCTAAATCAATTCATTCGGCCGCCATTGCTTCACGTGAAATTTTACGCCGACAAAGATGCTTCAGGGAGCAAGCCCTCGGCTTCATACTCCTCAACGTCGAAAGACGCATACTGAGTGCTGACTTCAGGGCTTTCGTAAGTCCTAGAAACCAATTAGTATGTTTGTAACTCGAGTACATTGATGTGACATACATGTTGAGAGGAACTGTAATGGACCCAACGAGACCGTCGGTAATCTCGTCGCCGACCCAGGTAATATCCATCTGCCGCAAAATGGTTAGGTAACAAGCGTGATAATGGGAGCAGGATACATACAGTAGCATCGTAGCCCGTAGCTGACTCTGTGAAAAATGTAAGTGAGCCAGCTAGACAACAGAGGAGGAAACTTACGGTAAGGATACCACATGTCATCTAAAAAGTCTGAGCGTTGAGATTAGGCGCTTATGTGAATATGCTTACCATCGTTGCTAACGGAGTCGGACCACGAGATAGCATTGGCAGCGTAGACAGGATTGGCAGCAACGGCATCAAGCGTGTCTTGGTCGAAGAAGAATTGTCCAGTACTAAGTAGTTCGAGTATGAGAGCAGAGAACGAGTCACTCAATATAAAGGAATCTTACTGTACTGCGCTACCTCCAGCTATGAAAGTGCCGTTAGCGGCGATATAGCCTTCAGGGTACGCCTTGATGTGGAAATGCTGGGCTCGGCCAGAATCTATGTGTTCCGTAAATTCTCCCGGGTCAAAAAAAAACATCGTAAAACACGTACACCATCCGGGGAAGACAGAGTACATCGTCAAGTGACCGTCGTCACTGCGCAGAAGAGCCTTGAGCAACTGTCAGCGAATCAGAGCAGTGACAACTTACTCTGTCTGCCAGACACCACGAAGGAAAGTGCTGTTGTCGTCCACGGCTTCATTGAGAAGCTGAGTCGCGGATGGTGAGTCCGCTCCATCATAGGCACCATAGCTAGTTGACGTCGTAGCGACAGTCTGAGTGGGGGCATCCGAAATACTAGTAGCACCGGAAGTCAGTGAGGCGCTCGCGTCACCACTGGGACTTCCTGCTCCGCTGCCTCCAGCAAGGGCAGACTAAGAAGTATAAAATATCCGTTAGTATACACCTTTATATTTAAAGAAGACTTACGCCAGTTTCAGCAATGTACCCAGCGTAAAAACCCGTAGCGTTTGCGTGCCAGGCGTCGACCCAGACTTGAACGGGGTCGCAGGTGCTAATGTCCATGAAGTCAACCTACAAGCCGTCAGCGCCTAGTAAGCAGGACGGTTAAACCTACGCACAGAAACTTCAAGGGGGATTCCGCCTTGTCCTTCGGTGATATTTTGACGCACGATTTCACCTCTGACGGAGTGGTGAGTAAACTTCTGGTGAAGACAAGTGTATTGGCGGCATACAAAATATGGTAAGGTCCTTGGGTGACTTCGGGGGTCACGAGGCAGGTGCTGTCGTTGCTAGACGTTGTCCTAGGGAAGACGTCGTAAGTGTGGGAGGAAGGCGAAACGTGAGATAAATTACCTCCGGAGAACCCCCGAGCTCCTACGAGCTAGAGCACTTTCCGACCGTTTGCGCCGACGGGCAGCTAAGACGTCGCCGCATCGTTTCTCGAGTGCATGACGCGCCTCGAGATTATCGCGCTTCCAGTTGGCGGGAGCGGGAGACGCGTGCGCGACGACTGAGCTTACGACTGAGGCAGCAAGGAAGAGTCGAGTGAGAGCAGAAACCATAGCAGATGCTGGTGATTAACCTGTGATTCCAACAGGTTTTTATACGTCTCCCCACCAGTTGCAGATACATATGGGGTAAATTCCGGCAGCGAAAATCACAATTTCACATAGCCGTTGCGTCGCGTCGCGTAGGGTCGGGCTGGGCTGGTAACCACTGAATACTAGCCAATGAGAATATACCCGATTTGTCAAGGGTTGACCTGGGAGAAATCAAGTCACGGGGTTTTCTCAGTGTCGTGATCCTGTTTCTGGGATTATCGTTCATATACTCCTCCATTAGTGCTATTAAGAGTGAGCAATTTTTATGCCAACAGTACAATAATTGATCTATACACTGAAGGTTAGGATTGACCCAGTCAAGCACTTTTCGCACAATACGCACTCGACGATTGACAGTAACGCTGCGCGAATACGTACAAAACTGTACACGCGGTAGACAATGTAAATCCGAGGAACTTGCGACAAAGCATCCGCTTTCCAATCAGAGAGCGATTGAGCACCTAGACCGAGAATTCTTTTCGAGAGAACAACGAATAATAAGCGCAGCACCGCAGCAGCCATGGCGCACGTTGGTGCATATGGAAAGCAAATCACGGACATGAGATGAAAGTTTAAGCTCGTTTAAAGCATGGAGCCGCCGGGAATAGTTGTGTCCACCATTCTCTAGCTGAACGAGCTTGTATGGTGAAATCACAATGCTGCCAAAGTGATGTATACACTGAAATTAACGGAGGTAAATTGACATTACATACCGACAACTGTTCCCAGGGAACTTTTCACAATAGTTCATGGGAGCCGAGAAATGATGCGCCCTAATGCTGCCGTGCCAAGGTGAAAAGATTATCAGGACCTCTTCGAAATGCTTGGCACATTACTGGTCACGGCTAATATGCACCTATGCAGTCAAGACTGCGCAGCCGAGGATCAGAAATAAGTTGAACAGTGATAGCTATGTATACGTACCATCAGCGGGACACAGGAGCTCCGACTTTCTGTTTCTGGGTACAGTCCAAGATACATCGAACAAGAAAAGGGAAAGGAAAATAGCGTTCAATTTCCGTCGTTGTGTTTCGCTGTCGATTCGCTATAAAGGACCCTCAGGATGAGGAGCTAGATTCAAACCGCTTTTTTATTCGACTAGAAGGCCATAAGTCCGTGTTACATATTGGATGTGAACCGAGCTCGCTTATAAATTCAAGGGCTCATTTTGATATGTGCGAACGTGAAGGCAACCTCTTTCCTTGCGTTCAAAGCGTTGATCTTTCCCCAGACTAATGTGTGTTATACTCAATGGAATTGGTCCGTCGCACTGCGCCATATTCCAAAAGATGCTCCAACAGGTAGATGAGCGGGACGAAGACTTTTTCGTACACTTCCAGAGACTGGTGATATACCGTTTCTCTGCTTAAGGAAAATATCACGGAGTCTCTGATGGGACGCGAGCCATTTTGGTTCTGTCAATACATAGGCGACCTGGATCTGACGGGGAGGACAACGAGGGGGCACGAGCAGATAAGTATCCAACGCTTTGTTTGTGCATGTTGGAATCTATGGACAATCATGAGTCCAAGCTTCTTTCCATGTCCCTCCAATGTTCGAATATTCCCAACTTATTTTCTCCAGCTGATGCAGTCTGCTTTCGTGGACCAGATGCTTTAGATCAATTTCAACGAGCTTCCAATAGTAGAACCTGACTACATCGCACTCTTCTTCCGCCTCTCTTCTACTGGGCTGCATATGCTGAGCCTGTTGACGAATCATACGTCGACATTTCTGACACATGTTTCCGGTATTTTATTGCATGATGGGGATAAAGCCAGGCGAGGTGCGTCATATAACGAAATTTTCTCTGGGAATATGCCCTTATTTCTTATTACTCCAGCAACGATGATTTGTATATCAAGCAGGGCCTAAAATACGTTTCAGCTGCAACCAGACAGATCGATGTTTCTCGGATCAATCGTTTCTGCAGTATCTCGTTGGAGAAAGTGCTCTCTTCATCGGGTCGCCCTGCGGAATGTCTTGAGTGAGATAGACTGTTCTACTCTGAAGAAAAGGATTTTTTTACTAGGTGCATACTCATTTCATATCGTCCCCTAACAAAGCGTAATAAGATTCTATGTTTTGCCTCTAGTCCATGATACACTGGACCCCATGATGCACAAGATCCTGCAACGCTGCTTCGTCCCGACGCGTAGATCCTCCATTGACGCCAGTGACCCTGTACCTTTTCAAATTCCGGAATCCTTTTTTCCAAACCACCCCATCCATCAGCGCCACCAGTATCGACTTGCTGATTCTCACACAAATCTCCTCGGTTACTTCAGTGTCAAGGATGCTGAGATACTCGTCAATCAGCACGGCATGATGGACCTTGCTCATTACCACCTCCATCCGCCTGACACGCCACCTCAAGTGGACCCGAATACGCGATACGATGTGCCAATTCATCTTCTCGGACCCTCGGCGAAAGATGACAAGATTCTCGACCGTCTCCACCCCATACATGAAGCGCATCAGCTCCTCGTGCTCAGAATTGTGCATGATGGTGACTTGAAGGGTGTGAAGATGCTGGAGGGAGACGACGGGACATCTTCTGAACCATAGCAGATCGCATTCTATGAGATCTACCATTTCGACATGGAGAGGCTGCACCTCCGGCTCGCGCAGGGCTGCCGAATTGCTGGACTTGAGGCCTTCAAAGCGTACGTGCTGCAGACTGGAACCGAGCGCGGAGAGGATGCCCGATACGTGCTGACTCGAAAGATTCGCGAGGGCTCCAAAGGTGACGGAGGAGAGCCGTCCGTGGTTCCCGAGAATCTGGGCGGCTTGCTGGGGTATCAACGAACTGGAGATCGTGAGATGCTCAACGTTGGGTGTATGCGCGACCAGAGAGTCCAGGGCCCATCCGGAAGAGTACGCGATGATGAGATGTCTCGTGTATCGGAGAAGACACGGGCTGACGCAGAGGCTCGGGGAAGCGGTGATGGCGATGCGGCGGAAGAGGAGGATTTGCGAGGGCAGGGTCCAAACTCTGGCGATGAGAGTGCATGCACTGAGGGTACGTTTATCGGTCAGGTCGATGCCTTGTAGAATCATCTCAACCAGCTCTACAGGCAGTGCCGTCCGCCATGGGTCAGTCATCGTCGACATTGGAGGCTCGTTTGAGGGCAAGGTCACTCGTCTGACGACTTTTGAATGGAGCATCATGCCACCGATGTGTGGATTATTTTGTTCTCTCACGCATTGTTTGCATTTTTCATCTGCCACCTCATCTTTATTCGCGTGCTTGAACCTTGACTTGGTTCATTGTTCCCCCCAGGCTCGTGACGAAGACCTAGGCGGTCCCATTCAGTGCTTGGCAACATAGCCTAGGACAAGCAGCAGACACGTTTACCAGCCAAAGGATACCAGGATGCCGTCGTGACGATGAGGAAGAAAAAACAATTGAAGATGGCTCTCAACGGTACGTCACTTTCATGTCATCGAATAGCGACCATGTTGAGTTGTTCTTTCAGAGTCCCATAGAGTGCATACACCATAGCCTTTTTTTTCCCCGCCGCTTGCTTACCACGCCCAGGCCTGACTTGTCCGACTCGGAGCCAACTGAAACTGCACATCACCGCTCTTGCAGACTTGACGATCTTGTCTTTGCACTACTACAGGCCAACTGGTGATGACCTTGCTATCGATCAAGCGCGCGCCGGCGTTGCCGGTGGGATCCTAGTCCACTGTTCTCCTGACCTGTTCAGGAGAAGGGTCTTTACTGGAGTCTGGCGACTCAAGCGCCTCACGAGTGAGAATGTTTGATATTATGGTGGACCGACTCCCTAATGAACTTGCCGAAAGTATCACCGCCGAGAGTTAACATCTTTATTGGACATTCAGAATGGCCAATCCATTCTTTCTTGTCTGTCGGTTTTGGCTACGTGCACAGAGTGTCTCATAATAAAATCTACCTCGCTCTGTCGTTCTACCACTGCAATGATGTCCCACAAACACGGGCGCCCATCCTATTTCATCATCTTCACCGTCTACGTGTCTTTCTTTTACAACAAAAGGGCCGGTTCGACTATATCTGGGTTTGTCAAGAGGTTTCCTCATGGCGCCCGTGAGATAGAGATCATCTTCACAATTGTCTCCAAAATTGGTACTACCACCGCGATGAGCGGTATCTACGCAACGTAGATATGGGATTGTACCATATGCAGGTTCAGGGTCAACGACGCCAACCACTTTGATAGCAACAAGCCGAGATGTCCCAACGTCGGGGCGCTCACACCTGAATACCATCAAAGCGTGTTTTGATGTAGTCCCTGCTCCGCTAAGCCTTCGACTTAGGATCCTGTAGTGAGGAAGAGTATCATTCAAGGATTCCAATCAGGAAGAGGCAGCTAGGTCATGATTAGCCATTGGTAGCATATGGACTAGGTGACGACTTCATATTTTGTAAAATAAATAATAGTCATGATGCTTAATCCTGAGCTGCGTCGAAAGGCGCACAAGTTGGAAGGTACTAGATTACAAAGTTTAAATTTATTCAATATTAATAAAAGCATAATCGGACCGAAGGACCGGGACGTCCGTCTTCAGTGGCCACCATCTGCATCATCATTTGGGTGGTGAGTTTTCTTCTTTACCCTCTACTCTGTCTACAAGACTCAACAGGACTCGAAAGATGTCTAATATCTGTATAAATTGCGGATTCTCCGAATCGGCTCCGCCACAGTATGCCCATAGCGGCATATATCGACATTTTGACGACGAGTTGATATCTGATAATGCCCCGTTCGTTAAATCCGCTATTCTTGCAGTCGAAGAAGATATTCGATCCATTGACGACCGGATGAGCCATCTAGAAGCGCTCAGAACCCGTCTTCTTGCAGAACGAAGCCATGCAGCAGTTAAGCTCGCAAAATACCGCTATTTCATTGCTCCCATTCGGCGGGTACCGAATGAAATTCTCTCGGAGATCTTCTCATTTACGTGTGCGGACATGTCAGACAGTGTCGACATCGTCAGTGGCGCACCATGGGTCTTGAGCCATGTGTGCAGCTTGTGGAGATCGATTTGCCTTTCCTCCCCCCGTCTCTGGTCTACGGTCATCATTGTACCAACGAGCTCCACACGGCGTCACGTCGCTGATATCCTAGGGAGCTATCTCGACCGTTCACGTGAACTGTTACTCAATCTGTATCTCGATGGCCATACATGTACCACTTGGATAGATGTCGACCTCGATAGCCGTGGCACGACCATACTACAAATCCTTCGCCCCTACAGGTCCCGTTGGCACAAGCTCATCATTTCCTGTGATCATGATCTTACAATTCTGGCCATCATCAACGATTGGGAATACATAGAGCCGGGTTTTACGCATTTGAAAAGGATCGATATTCGCACTTCCGATGATTGTCTCGTACGCTCCACCATGGCATTCTCCAGGGCTCTCAACCTGGAGAGCATCCACCTTGGGAGTGGCGTCTTGTTAGAAGACCCGACGTTCCCGCATCTCACGAGCTTCCATGGGAAGTTCTCATCCATAGTGCAATTCCATGATCTCCTCGAGTCAGCGCCATCTCTCCAGGATGTTTCCATTTGGTATCAGCCGCGAACCGGTACACCGGACATCTTTCCACCCACGCGTCTCACTCACCCAAAGATCCGCAAGGTGACGGTGCGTGCATCGACAGCATGCTTTTCCGAGGTGATTTTCCCTTCGTTGGAGGAACTCGTCGTCGAAGCTAGAGTGTATGAGTCGAATTTTGACCCAGAACATGTCACCTACCTGACCGCCCTCATGGGTAACTCACATCGCCCTCACCGTTCACTGAACATGATGGTCCTGTCCTCATCCCATCTTACACCCTTTCTTACACCAGGACTGACGTCTCTTACCATGGAAATCCCAACAGACACCTCGAGGGAGATATACCATATCCTCATGTACAACCCAGACGACAGCCACCCCATCGCACCCAACCTAACGTACCTGTCCATCAAAGAGATGGCTCTAGTCTCCGATCCGAACCTTCTTACTGACGATGCGTGCCTAAGGATGGTCGTCTCTCGAGCAAGGACGCTCCAGTCAGTCGTCCTTCAAATCATCCTGGTGTGCCACTACAGCCAGGGGGTGTCCCAGATGGGAGCGCGTCCTCGTCCTTTGTTGAACAATTTCAAGTCTATCATTTCGTCTGAGGGACTGGACGTGCATATTCGGTGGACGGAGAGGACCGCAGGTATCGGCGCCAAGCATGATAAAGACCTCGATCTGATCTGAATGACGAAATGAGAAACTCTGCCCTACGCTCTACATACCAGTGTTCTGAACTCTAGCGGCTTTGAATTTGTACTTCAACCAATTTCCTCTCTTTTCAAACCAATATCACCACCACTCCCGACGCTCTGTGTGGTATTCTTCTGTATGTATCTTCATGGCTACTTCTCTCTCACCGCTAAAGCGTACGCAGATCAATTATGCACCCTACCGAAAATCATCCTTCGCCAAAAATACCGGAGTACTTTTCACTTCCATGACCACGTACTGCCTCCATTCCTATACCAAGAACTGCGCAATGGAGTCACACGAGACAGCTCTGACGCTCATTCAAATTTCATCAAGCAAACAATCTCAAGTTGATGGCCGAAATTATCAGAATATGAATTTGATATTTCCGCCTTGCAGAAACTCTCGCGTGTGCTTTGTTTCCGTTTACCAAGCCTACTTCTCTCCCATCTGTCGGCGTCCTGCTGAGATTCTACCTCGAATGCACGCCCTATCTGTTCGAATAATCGTTCGCAGCTGAACCGTGCCTCTGCGATCCCACTCCCTATAGCAGCCTTTTGTGTCGCTGGCGTGATGTCTGCCTCGCTTACCCCCTCTCCCGCCTTTGGGCCTCCATTTTCGTCAATGCCGACAACGCCCATCTTTCATTGTCTAACAAGACTCTGGCAACCCTGTGTCGTCAGAGGTTCGCTTCCCAGCTGCTTTACCTGCAGCATTTCAGCAGATTTTCTTCCTGAAATATCAAGAGATAGATGGTGATGTATCCTTTCCGTACGCGTCGCTGGAGACACTTTCACTTCTCCTGACATGCTCGACTTTAGCAAATGTCATATTTTGACGCTCGACATTGTTATGGGGTAGGCTTGAATGAGAAGGGTTCAACTTTACCTCGAAAGGAAAGATGTCAATGGTTGATAAGCTGATTAACCATGCGGGTTCAGCACTCGCCTAGGATCACTCGGTGTTGTGATGCGTAGAGCAAGATAAATTGTAAAGTAGTCTAAAACATTGGTACGGCGGTAATTATATACTTATCTATCTACTGAGAAAGATGATTCCTTCGTCTTCTAGTAAGTACTATGCGACTCAATATGAGTCGCATTACTGCGGCGTAGTCAGCGAATAAGTTAATTGGCATATGGTCGTAATATTGGAAGGAAGGCGAAAGGGATACATGAGATACTGCGGGAAATACCATAACAGACATGGGCCTGGCAAGAGTATCGGATCTCGTCATTCCCCTCACCACAATTCGCCTCGCTTAAATGTCTCCATCTGAAAGGATGGTGCGATGTAGGCGGACATCTCGTCTCTGTTTCCTCGTGCACCCCAACTTACCGAGCACCGTCTTTTCGACACCTGGTCTACCCCGGAATCTGAGCTCCCATGGAGGACACACATACGAACGCTCTGGCTTCAATGGACGATGGCCCGAGCGACACCTCTGGAGGAGTCATCTCTATCAATGATCGTTTTCCTGGTTTAGAGGTCCTGGTGGCATGTTCTCAGCCACTATGAGTAAAGATCCGGTCCCTTCGAAGTTACAGCAGGTGTCTTCTGCATGATGACCCCTTCCGATTTCCGTCGTCTCGAGATCATCGACGACGGAACAGGAAGTGACAGGGGGAATTATACCATCACCCATCCAGGTCATCGATGTCATGCTTCCTTTCCCCGCCAGTTCGTCTGCCCTTACCGAGCTACGCTTTGAGAACGTAGTCAGTCATAGGCGACTCAGGAAGAACCTCGTGAAGCACACCAGAGTTGACGACACTCGCCGTCCTGTCGTGGAGTATAACAAGGATCCCGAAATATCTTGCCATTACAGACGATCTCCTTGTGCGTCTGATGGACTCGCGCAGGTTCCGGACAAAACTGGAAGCACACCAAGTTGGTCTCCGGGCGGATACAACTGAGGTCGATGAAAGGAAAGTCACGATGCCCTGCGGGTAGGGTGCTTCAGTATATGACTGTCGGCATGTAGGACAGTGGGGAGTTGGGTGAAAAGACACTGCAAAGGCTTCAGAGGCTATGTGTGGAAGCTTGGAATGAGTTGTCTGCTTGTACTGATCTAGACGGTATAGAAACCACCACTGTTCCTGTGGCTTGTCCATTTTTCCCTTCAAAGAAACAAGCAACGTTGATGTCCTGCATCCCACTTTGACGGTATGTATCACTGAAGTACCCATAACTTTGAAATTTGTCTCGATGCCGACAACGAGGGTAAAGCCATGCCGTTTTGTCGCTGGATAAGTACCCCTATTTTAATCGTTGGCAGGGTTCGGCCCGCGGAGCCACAGAATCCAATCAATCTAAATCTTTTTGAATTACGAACAGATATGCCTCGAAAAAGAGGACGCGATTGCAAACATGGAAATTTGAGAAGATTTATGAAGAGGTTGATCCTCATTTCTGCTTTCTTGTTTGTTCGCGCCGATGAGCAGTCAAAAGGCAGGACTGGGGTGCTCGTGAGAATACATCAGGACGCTTGATCTCGCAATTGTGCATCATCTGAACAAATACGACCTGCAGTCATGTTCCCGAAAACACAATAAGATAAAGTGTGGTATATCGTCCTAGTTCATACAATAGATCGCGAGCAGTAGCTAGCCATAAGGAATAAGGCCGGCCTTAAGGAGCTATCAGGCACCGATAGATAGACAGACAGTAAGAGAAACGAAAAAAAAAATAAAGAATATCCATAATTGTCATCCGCCCAACCGCAACTTCCTGACAAACTCGCCCCAACCTTGGTGATGATGATGGTGATGGGAGGAAGTATCAGAAAAATCAAACGATCCCGGCATCCGCAAGGCATTCATCTCGTCTTGTTCTGCCTTCTTCGGTTCCGCTGGCGCAGGTTTATCCACAACTTTCGGAGGCGGTGCAGGTTCGTCGACAACTTTCGGAGGTGGGACAGGTTCGTCTACCTCATGCGGAGGCGGTGTATCAAGAGCTGGGCATTGATCACCCTCGTCAGGTCCAGTTACCTGAACGTGCTCGTTATGCCCTGGATGCTCTGTCTGTTTTGCTTTTGAGTCATCATCACGCGTTTCCCGTTCATCGTCATCCCAGCCGCCGCTACTGTTTGTCGCAGTCGAAGATGTCGACCGTGAGCTAATGTTGCTGCCGAGACGGTGGATGGCCCGTGCAGAAGCGATAGCCGAGCGCCACCGCGCTCGAGGATCAAAGTGGTCACGCAGGCCCGCTCCGAGGTCGTGCTCGGTGTTGGCGGTGTGCGTCGTGAGCCACTATACATACTGTGTCAGCTTTTTGATCCAAAACATGGTACTGTCACGTACAGGATCGTTGAGCGCCTCTGCAGCCGTCGGTCGTTTCACAGGATCAGGGTTGAGGAGCGATTTTATGAAAGTTTTGGCTGCAAATTTGTTAGTAGTTGCAATCGGGTTGGACCTAAAACACTAACCTTGGACAGAGACGTTCTTCCAATACCGCTCGTGGAACTCTATTTTCGCCTCGGTCGTCTCTCGGATGAGCATTTTGACATCCTCCGATCGGAATGGAGAGTAGCCACAGAGTAGCACGTAGGTAATGATCCCAGTTGACCACATATCCACCGCTTTTCCATGGCCTTCGTTATTCAATACCTCCGGCGCAACATATCCGAAACTACCGGCCAGACTATGGAGCTTTTCTTCTGAAGAGTGCAGATGTTTCGCTCTACAAAATTCGTCAGATTCGATGCTACATGAGGTACACCAGGAAATGCAACAGCAGAGCACGTGTTAGGTTTGCATCAAATAGTTTCGGTGCATATTGGGAGGCCGGTGCATTTCTAACAGCAAAAATGGACCTTGAAAGGTCTTGTTTGCATGCTCAAATGCACTGGCCTCCGCAGTGAATGCCAGAAAAAATTGTACGCACATCCCGAAATCAGCAATGACAATGTCGCTCTCCACGTCCTTGGTTCGGTAGAGGATATTCTCGGGTCTTGAGTTCAATTAGGCACCGATTAAAAAGGAGACAATGACGGATGCATACTTTAGATCACGATGCACAATGTCATGATCATGGAGATAGCGTACACCAGCAAGAATGGATCTTTGCACCATCGTCAACATGGCAGCTACCCGAAGAACGTTGTCACGCACCGTACAACACTCACTGCATCCTCTTCAGTGAACTTTCCCCTCTTCAGGATCCTTTCAAACAGTTCCCCACCAACAGCTAACTCGAAGGAGAGATAGTACTTGGAACGCGACTCGAACCATTCGTAAAATTTGACCTGTTGTCATGGTGAGAGCCAGGAGGTAAAGAGGTCCAAGTTATACGTGCAATGTTGGGGTGATCCAAGCCCTTGAGAACTTCCATTTCTCCCCAGACGCTAGCCTCGTTGCCCTTGACCTTTTTCTTAGGTATCATCTTGAGCGCGACCTCTTTTTGAACGGCTACTGGAGATAACGGTGAAGATACTTGCATTTCAGAAGCGACACTCGCGATTGCCCCACGCTCAGAAACCGCTACCAGTTCCGGAGGCACATTCCATGTCGCATGCTACGATAGCGGGTGAGAAAAGTGAAACACCGTTACCGTTGGGTACTGAAAACGTACCACTACTTTCCCAAAAGTGCCAGTGCCGAGCACCTGGTGAACTTCGTAATTCTTCTTCTTCCCGAAGCTAGGCGGTTGCGGTAACAGTGCGTCCTTAATTGACAGACTCTTCATCGTTGAAATCATAGAAAATGCTGTTGCAAGTTGACTTGGTGGTAGTGTGAGGAAGAAATAGATGAAGAGTAACAGTCCTTATCCCATTTAGAGGGCTGGTGGTCGATTTTGGTAGGACGCGCCAACGGGGATGGTGAACGCTACAATGTTAGCCTTGGTTTCTGTGTCCTTCGCCGTATATGGGAAATTTATGATGTAATCTTCGCGCAAAGATAAAGCCTAAGTTTAGTACTGATATGCTTGGCATGGTTTGTATTGCCGTCCTGAACACTTCCGGTCGGTCATCAATTATTTCATTATACAGCCATACAAATATTATCTATTCTATTGTGCGCACACTATTTGTGCTATGCAGCCTTCCCATCTGGTGCAGGCTTCTCTAAATCGTCGTCTAAATTCTTTGCGGGAGGACCGGACATCCTCACAGACTGTGTAGCCTTCTTCGACCTCTGCCGGATCTTCTCACCATACATATAAAACACGAAAGGAATCGGCGCTATCGCAACCGACACCAGGGCCAGCAACAGCCCTGCATACTGGAAACCCATATTATGGAACATCTGCGTCGAATACAATGGTACCACTGCACCAATCTCCGAACGCAAGAACGTTTTCGCAGCTATAGCCGAGGCCGCGAACGAACTGTAGCTGTCTACAATGTAGGAATTGGCAGAGATGTAGATGATGATCAGTGCGAATCCGAAAACGCCTCCTGATATGCAAGGGGCTATCCAGTGTACCCAAGAGTAACCGCCAGTGAAGGCGAAGATGAAGAGACCGACAGGTAATATGCTGTATGACTCGGTGAGCGAATATACAAGAAGAGGGTGAGAAATACCTACAGTGCTCCCGCCATCATAGGGAAAAGCCGGGCTTCAGGATATGTACCGTAGACCGTAGCCTTTCGATAGATCTTCTCTTGGTATGGTACTAGCATCATCGCGATTCCAATACCAATCTGTATCAAGACGTTAACACATAGTACAGGGTGCAAACCGTGCGCCATACCATGATGCTAACAAATGTAACTCCCGTCATCCCCAAACCGAAACCACGCACCTCCTCAAAGGCGATGGGGAAAGTGAAGAAAAATAGGTCTGTACGAAGCTTGTTTAGAGACCCTGATGTTCAGATGGGATAAACGTACACAGTAGACTGTAAATAAACGAAAGGTCTGCCGTGATGAATACATGAGTATGTATCCGAAAATCATTTCTAGGAGACCCACAGAAAGAAAACAGGGCCACGATAGGTTCGGCTACCAGCATCACAATCGGCCTAAGCAAGGAGATCTTCAAGGTCTCGAAGAACGGGACACGTTCGAGCTCCTCGAGTGTACGGTAGCTCTCGTCTCCCGTAGACTTCCGTAACTTCTCAGCTTTACGACGGAGAAGGAGAGGTGCCAATGTTTCAGGAATGAACAACGTGAAGGCAAAGCATACACCAGTGAAGATGAAAAGGACCCAGTCTACAAGTAAAACGTGAGAATGGAGATCGAACAATGACAAGGAGCATCGTACAAATCCATCTCCAGCCAGCTTTCTCGGCAATCCACCCTCCAAAGAGCGGTCCAAGGCAAGGGCCCATACTATAAAAGCGGATGAGGATCAGAACTGATCGCAGCAGCTTATGGCTCACAATAAAGTAAACGAGAACACCGCCATAGGGACTCCTCGCTCCTCGACGGCCCAAATATCGGCCACACTGTAGATACAGATCGTCAGGAAACACAAAGGATACCGGAAGGCCGATCACTGACGTTCCGCCCACATTACATATCGGCGCAGAGGCCGCCAATCCCGCAATCTGACGGGCAACAACCAATGTGGCCACGTTTTTTGACAGAGCACTAGGCAGCGTGAAAATGAAGAAGAAAAGCATGCTGACTTGGTACATCAGTGTTCTGCCCACTACTTCTGATAACGGGGCAAAGAATAGTGGTCTATGGATCATGTCATGTCAGGGGCGGGGAACGAGCATGGAGCGTCGAGATAACCTACCCAATACCAAATCCAATAACGAAACATGTTACTGTGAGGTTGACAATCTCTTGTGTTGTGCCGAACTCCTTTACAGGGCCGCTCATACTGCGAGAATGTCAGAACACAACCTCTACGGTAGAACAGACACTTACTCTCCAGTAATGATGGAGCTACCGATGGCAACCGACAAGCAAAGAAATGACACTGCAAGAGTTATGTACCTAAGTGGGAAATATGGATGAGCCTGTGCAGAACACCCTGATAACGAACATACCATTTCATCGCTCGTCCAAACTCCCGTGGATCTTCACCCTTTCCTTTCTCGAATCCCACAACGTGGATACCATCGCGAGTGAATCCTCTTTCCAACTCGGCTAGATCTGGGGCGGGCCCGCTAACAGCTGTCGCTGTCCTGGTCAGAGGGATGGGGCCCTCTAGGTCCAGTTGACGATACTCATCCTCCTGAGCTTGGGTGAGCGCGGGGGGGTAAATAAATTCAGCCTCCAGCGGTTCAGAGGGCATTGCAGGCGAGGAGGAAAGCAAGGTCCATGAAAAAAATTCCTGGCATTTATATAACCCCCACGGAGGGTCCGACAGTACGACATAAGCGGCCTGAAATCACGAATATTGCATACGTGAACATCAATGGTGGCCCAAAGATGTCCCGGAATATGTTGGGCACGGATAGTTCATGAGTGTCTCGAAGGAAATAAATAGGTATATCGATTCCGCGGCTCTTCCTCCATTAATGTTCCACCCAGAAGATATACAACGAAGGAGAAACATTCGCACCTTTCGACTATCACGCTCCAGTAGTTCTCTTCCAGGTAAACTTATCCCGCTGTCGCGTCGGTTATTCAACCAAGTGATTTTGAAATTCGTCCGCGGCCTTCGCTTCCTCCTGATAAGGTAAATCCGGCAACGGCCACTTAGAAAAATGGCAGAAGTATAAGAGAATACTGCGAGATCCTTCTTCCTCGTACCTGAATCTTTTTTCTTCATTGTGAATGTGATTCCGACTCGGATTGAGGCTATGCCATTAAATACATAAAGACTGTCCTTGGTTACTTCGATACTTTACCTATCGCATAGTTACCGTCGTTTCCCTCTCAGCTCTGCTTCATTTTCGAGCGCAGCATTCATGCGAAGCCCTAGGTCGTATTCGGATTGATGTCGGGACCATATCACATTTCTCCCTCACTTACGTATAAGGCACATATATGATACGCCACTTCGCCGCAACATCTCTGGTGGCGCAGAGTTTGACCTTTCATCACACTTCATCATCGTGAAGGGAGAGTAGGCGGGTGGGTACCCATGGGCACAGGAAAGAATCAATGAAACATTTAAAAGTGATGAACAAGATTAGGGGAATTCAGAATGGATGTCGAGGATGTAGTTTCTGACAGACCCATGTTCATATATAGTACGGTACACATGATTTCTGATCATATCAGTGAAATTCAAATTCTTGGCATGGTCCATTTTAGTTTCAGCAGGTGTCCCGGCAATTGAATGGTAAATTTTTCCTCCCTCATATCCCTTAGAAACTTTGCAAGTATAATACTGTAATATATCACTACCTAGCTACAAAATACCGGAGGAAAAAGGTAAGGAAATGCGGCCACGGCAGCGGATTTTCAAACTGTATGGGACTTTCAATGCATCAGCGAATTTTCATGCGGCAATTGCCGTATTCGCTTACCTTCTGCGATAACGAGCAATTTTCTATTAGACTCTATGATTGGCGATTTAGTGGCATTCCTGTTGGTGTATTCTTGTGCATTGGCATCGGCGGGGCAGACTCCATTCTTTCTGACACGAGACCCGGTGCTCTCTCCTCACGTTGACGCATTTATCAGCGGTATTTTAGCAGAGTGGAACACACCGGGTGGCGTCAGCGTCGCTGTCGTGCAAAAACACGGTGATGGTACCTGGAGCGTGGAGACCAAGGGATACGGAAATGCCTCTGCGGACGGTCGACAAATGACCGAAGACTCTTTGTTCTTTATTGCATCAAATTCCAAGGCAAGTTCGATCATGTTGAGTACAACTTGAATGTTTCTCACTCGAACGGAAGCTGTTCAATATTGCTGCCACGGGCCTCTTGATTTCTAACGAAAGCTTATCACGTCGTATCTCCTGGGACACCAAAATAGCGTCTATTGTTCCGGAATGGGAGTTAAAGGACCCTATTGCATCGTCTCAGAGCACGATAACCGATGTTATGAGCCACCGTACTGGCCTTCCCCGTCATGATCTTATGTATGGACGGACGGATAATGTCACCTCAATTGTGAGTTTTAATTCGGCCGTATTCTGCAAACTGACTGATAGTATTGTCAGCTCAAAAGACTCAGACATCTTGAGCCATCTGCCGAGTTCCGGGATATCTATCAATACAACAACAACATGTACATGCTCTTGTCCTATCTGCCTGAACTCCTTCTCCCGCATAAGCCATCCTTTGCTCGCTATGTCAAGGAACACATTTTCGAGCCTCTAGGACTCACTTCGACTACTTATTCCTTGGATGTCGCTCAGGCAAGCGGCAATCTAGTGCAAGGTATGGCGCGAGACGGCATTAACAAAACCGAGAACATATTCGGTAGGGGAACCCCAAGAGCTATGTGGCATCCTAACTGGTTCTTGTCGGGTGGTGAGGACGGAAACTGTAAGCTTTACTTGCGCAGTATTATCTGAGTTTTTACTCATTCGTACCTAGACAAAGCGGGTGCCGGAGGCGTCATCAGTAGTGCTAAAGATGCCGTCAGGAATATTTCTACTCCCTTTCTTGTCTTGGCATGCTGATGTCCTGTTAGGCGACTTGGCTCCAGGCTTTGCTCGAAGATGGACGAAATCCCGTCACGAACGAGAGTGTCATCCCGCCTTATGTCATAGAAAAAGTTGCCACTGGAAAGACAGTGCAAACGGGCTACGCATTCGTGCCTATTTTGTCGCACGACGTTCTCTGACACTTGATTTAGGGCGTACCCTGAACTCTCGCCGGTGGTCTACGGTGGTGCTCAGTCCCGCTATACATATAGAGGACATGGTATGTCCTGTGTCGTCGTCTACGAACACAATAAATTGATGGTTATTGTGCCTGACAGAGATCATAGAGGCAAGCTACCGAACCGTTCACATCGGTCTCTCTTGACAAATATCTACTTGGCAGCATGGCGGATCCACGACAGGTTATCCGGCTGTCCAAAGTCCGCAATATTTCAGTGAACGCTGACTTCCCATCACTCGTATGTAGGTTTCATGACGCAGATTTCTCGATTTCCTTCCGATAAATTGGGCGTCGCTGTATTCTCAAACGACAACGAATATGGAGATATGCTTCATGAGATCATCAAGTGGTACCTTGTCGATGTCGCCTTCGGCCTTCCGCCCATCAACTGGAACTCTAGGTCAGTCCCTCGTAGCTAGTTATCATTCTATCTCTCCTCAACTCTCAGGGACAATTAACAGAATGAAGGCCGAAGTCACCAGACAACACCAGGCGCTCGTTCATGACTCTCATCCGAGGCCGACGAGCCCGCGACCGCCGTCGGTATCATTCGAGGCGTTCAGCGGTCGATACGAAAATTCAGGCTACGGCACAATCGATTTCTGTTTCACTTTTATGAATAGGACAGCAGCAGATCTTCTCTCACCATGCGATGATTCATCGACGGTACTCCCGGATGCTATCGATCCCTCCGTGCCGACCCTTCTAGCGAAATGGGACAAGACCTGGTCGACCCATATCATGCTGACTCACTTCGATGGAAATCTCTTCAATGTCAGCACTCTCGAAAGTAGAGTGCGCGTTTATGGGTTCTTTTCCTGGCGTGATTTCTCATATATGACCTTGCAGCACACAATCAATGATACTCAACCATTTTGGACTGCGGTAGTGCATGAAGGTAACATCGTGACTGCGGAGTTTGCCTTTGGCCAGGAGGAGGAAGGCCAACGCTCAATTAGCGGGTTCGGATTAACAGGCGATATATGGGGAGCAGGTGCTGAAGCTGGTACAAGAACGGGTGTGACTATTCAGGACCGTGCAGAGGTGTGGTTTCACAAGATCTAATCAGGATCTGTAGTATGGAAGGATGTTGAGCGGACAGACCTACCAGTGCTGGCGTTGCTGTGTCCGCCGTTTGAAAAATCTCCTATCTAGAACTCTCTGACCTCGCAAGATGTTCCAGTCCGAGAAATCGTCAGGGCGACCGAGGTCCCCAATTCCCGCCGATTAAAAATGACCCTTTTTAATAATCGGCGGCTCAAATGAGACGTTGCCATATAGTACCGACTACTGAGGCGGTCGACGACTTTCTACTTTAACAATCACTCTCGTCTGCTGCATCACTGATGAACAGTAATGGACTCCTCATCCGACTATAGCGGGATTCAGTCTGATCTAACATCACACAGCTTATGCGTCCGAATTCTGTCTGTTGTCTTCTCACTAATGTTCATCGGTCATGCGCACAGTAACTCTTTTCGTGTACCGTGTATACTAATCTGACACTTATTTCTTAGATGGCGCTCCTTTCGCTTTGCGACTCAGACGTGCAATCAACCCCGCGCTTAGAGGTAAGCGCTGGTTGTTTTATTGCTCATCACTGATCTTTTCAAGTCGCAAGGGCAACTAGTTCCGCAAAGTTAATTCCTTGCAGATCTTCGTTTCCGTCTTCATAACACATGGTTTTTGCAAATCATCAATGCTTATCCACTCTGGGAACTTGAAACACGTCTTCATCAGCCAACCTGCTACTAACCTAGAAACGTCTTATTACAGACTGTTTCGGTAGGAAGTGACCAATCTACCTATCATTCAGATAAAAGGGCGAGACGGTCAGCTACTGTTTTGCTCGTTTTCTCTTACCTTCCTACGTAGTCATGTCTTCAAAGTCTCACAAAAATGCACCTCCTCTACGTAGAGGTACTGCTTGTCTTGCTTGCAGGTAAGCTTTCGTTTGGCGTTACGATCGACGTTTCTGACCCTCACACCATCGTTCTCACAGGAAACGTAAATCCGTAAGCTCAAAGGATCATAATGTGCAACTTGAACTGACTCTGTTACCATATCCAGAGATGCGACGGTACTCACCCAGTGTGTCAGCAATGTATCAAAGCAAATCGAGAAGATGAATGCCGTTATACTGGCGTGAAACGGAAACGGCAGCAAAAGAATATTTCAGTTTTGCGTGGGCATTTATTTCAGTCAGAAACCATGAGGTAATGCCGCTCTCGTAAACTCAAATATAAATTCTGAAGCGTACTTTTCAGTGACTTCCCTTCAGACGTCTTTCCCATAAAACCAACACCGCAGGCTACAACGTCTACCCTCACTTCTATCTTTACCACACACTCTGCCTCCTCTTCGTCAAGCTCGCTTTCACAATCGCCCCCTTTTTCCATCGAATCCTTATCATACAATGAAATGGGGCCTATGTCTTTAGATGATCTGAATTCCTTAGGTCCGCAAACTCTGCCTCTTCCTCCGGAGGACTCTACACTTTCTGGTATACCTTATACGTATGACTTCCCATACTCATGGACTACCGAGGATTTGTTGCCCCAGGAAATAAAGATAATACTGTGAGTGTGTTGATATATATTTTCCCATCGAATCTCATGAAACAAATAGGATCGAGACCTTTCTTTCTCATCAACATCAGTGTTACTTCGAAGGATGTGGCATAGGGCTGACTGAATCCGAGCGGCATCCGGCGCTCATGAATGCTGTGTACCTCCTCGGATGTTACTACACACGGTCCACCCACTTTTTGAATGTGGAAACACACTTCTTGGACCTGGTGTTACGTGGCGTTGCATCGGCACTCTCCGAACATGAGAAGACTGTTGACGTAGTCCGAGCATCATCACTTCTGGCCGTATATCTTTACTCCACCGGGCAAATAGTAGAAGGATATCGATATTCCGTTTCTGCGGCACGGCTGGCATTGGAAATTGGGCTTCATCGAATTTGCCCCACTGAATTTCCTGGACCATTGCACAACCAGATCCCCATTAATCCCCATCATCATAGTACGGAGATAAACGACAGGATATCAGCGTTCTGGCAAATTTTCATGGTTGACAGTTGCTGGTCTGCAGCAACGGGATTTCCAAGTCTACTATCTGGTTCCGGTGAACACAAAGTCAGAATCGAAACACCTCTGCCTCCAAGCGTACGTTCTCTTTTGTTTGCATCTCGCAAACGCTCATATCTTCCCTTCATAGCAAGACAGCGCCGACACCATTGCCTTCTTCGGCGAGACCATAGCGTTCCCTTCAATACTGGCTCTGAAAATCAAGGCCGCTGCCCTGTATGAAGAGGCAGCGCTCATTTCTTCAGGTCAGATAACCTACTTTATTTCCATATAAGCATCTCACCATAGGACGACTAGACAACAACAATTATGATGCGGAATACTGGTGTAACTTCACTTCGGTTAAGAACGCTTTGGAGCGTATACAGGCGTGCCTTCCCTTAGTTCATGATTATTCTTTACCCATTTCAGAATCCATCATGGATGTTGACATTTTCTTCGTTCGCACCCTTGTCTACGTTTCAGTAATCAATATCAATCGGATCCACAACCCTGCCGACGCTCTGCAAGCGTCTTTGGATGCTGCCTCTCTCATTGCCTCTCTCAGTGATGATGCCTACGAATATCTCGATCCATTATTCTCCGTATGGTAGTCTATTGTCATTTTGTTCATTGTCTGACAGATTCCTAGGTACTGTGGACTTCAATTGCGAAAGCTTTTACGTGGAATATTCATCACGGTGGATCTGATAGATACCCAATTTTTCAGACGGAATCATCTCTACAGGTGGTTGTGAATGCCTTGAAGTCCCTGGGTCAATTTGTTCCACTAGCAGGTATTTCTTTATGTCTTCCGCAGCGGCGCCGGCAGCTCTTAAATTTGAATGCAGCACAGTGTGGGACACAAATTGAAGAGGACTGTGCGTCTTCGGGTGTCTGTGATCCGACCCACCTCTGCGAGGAAAATGTACTATGGGGACCGGCGGAAGCAGCTCAATCTGAATAAGATACACGTGGATCGGCACAGTCATTTGGAGTTGTCGATCGGACCATCGAATTCAGTTCGACATCATATACGACGACGAGTGGTCATAGCTCTGGTCATTATTTCTCATCTTTTCGGCTATCCGAAAATATCAACCTTTCTCAAACACTATAAACATCAGTTTCATTGACATTCTCACCCCTTCTTCCTTACCCACCAATATGTTTTTTGCTCTAGTATTACTCTCTACTGCCATTCCTGCCCTCGCTTGGAATAATTCGACGCTGTCCATTGGTCTTGGTCCAGCGCTTGCAGCCGTTGGTCTTACCACCTTGGCTTCGCAGGCGGGCCGCCTCAACAACACAAGCATAGGCCAAGGCCTTCTGGCGAGGTTAACTACGGGAAATTATACATTGTTTGCTCCAGATAACGCAGTATGTAAGTGCGATGTTCGCCTGCAGAGTTACAGGTCGACTTGCGTTTCGATAGAGTTGACGTTGTGTTATAGTTTCTAATGCCACGAATACTTCAAGTTTTCCTAGTGACGACAACCTTTTCGCCAACGCGCTAGCGTACCACATCGTGTCAGGCAGCTTCACCCATACGAATGAAACAGGGAATCAAACAAATGCCACGCTCGAGGCAGAAAATTACCCGAATGTCACTATCGGGCGTACTTTACTTGACAATTCTTCTGTGGTTGAGCTTGAAGGAAATAAAAGTCAGGTACTCGTTTGGAGTGATATTAACCACACAGTTCAGATGTACAACCAACCGTGCGTTCATACGGCTCTTATTTTGATCATCATTTAAACCTTCGTTGTGATAGAAAAAATGTCTCTGTTCTGAACAGCACGCTCGTCGGAAATTTTCTTGTGAATCGAATAAACGGCGTACTCGTAATTCCGCCCGATGTATCCGACGTTCTCGTTGAGCAAAATCTCACATATCTGGCCAATTATTTGAATTCGACGACCATTACCTCTTCTAATGGTACCAACGAAACTATAACGCAGTTGTTAGACAGCGATTCGATAGCAGGTTTTACGTTCTTCGCGCCGGACAATGCAGCGTTTGACCTTGCACGCTCGTCTTTGAATACGACAGCATCAGTCCCTGTCATGGAGAACCATGTACGTTGTGACCATTTCCTTTTAATTATTTCCTTTTGATTACATCTGATTGACGGTATATTTAGATAGTCAATGTATCGACAATCTACTCACCCTCACTCACGCCATCAGAAAACTTGACTTCGGTAGGGGGTGAGCCGCTCACATTCACGACCAATTCTTCGGGAACGTTTGTACACAGCGGAAACGTAGCAAACGCCAGGATCATAAAAATGGATATGCTCTGCAGGAATGGCGTTCTCCATATGCTCGACCGGGTTCTGATAAACACAGCGACCAACCCCGCAGCTGCCACATCCGCGTACGTACTTTTCTCTGGCTCATGCGTTGACGGGCTTCTCTGAATCCCGACTTCTCTGGTTAGGCATGAAGCTGCGACCGCCTCGGCTGAAGTTTCGACGACTGAGACGGGACCGGTCGGTGTTCCTACTACCGCTGGCTTAACCGGTAGCAAAGCGGAGTCGAGTAGCAACAGAGCCCAAAGTGTGTTTGATGGAGCGGAAGATAGCATGACTGCTATGCTGACTGCCTTTGTGGCTATCATGGGTTGGGCTGTGGCTTTCGCTTGATCGTAGTAGTAGTTTCCGTCCGATATGGACTATCTTTCAGCTTAACACTATAATGCCGCCGCTACTGTATATTCAGAACTAGTACAAAAGAATTGTGTATCTGTAGAATTGTTATGCAAATAGGTTCGCGTTATCGGAGGAAAATGTCGAGAAGGGAGCAAGCACCCTGAATCATCAGGCAGATTAAAATGAGACTGGTTAATGTGAGTCGGCAAAAATCGAAGTACATGTGTATGTTTCTCAGTTATCTCTGAATGAGTAGGAATGTTATAAATAGAAGGCAATGCGTAGTTACAAGCTGAAAACGTGTATATTTATATGATTAACATCATGAGTATATGGAGGAGCATATATTTGTATAAATGAATCACTGATTTCTTTCGCGGGCTATATGATCAAATCTTGATACAATACAATTATAGCAGGCTCTGGGCCTGTACAAGAGCGCGTTTAAGGAAGGAGGCAGGACCAGTAGATTAGAAAATGTTTTGCAAGGTGTAATCCTATCTTTCGTCAACAATCTATGAAATATAGTGAGACTCAAAGTAGGTGTGTATAAGCACAATGCAAGAAGCGCAGACTGTCTGAATGAGGATCCGGATGTTCACTGTTCAGTCACGTGAGCGTGGTGTCCTCAGCGGTCTGCGGCATTACCCGGTTCTTCTTTGGCTAGTAGATTTGCACCATGAGGCGTCTCTGGTGCACTTTTTCTCAGCTGTTATACGTACAAGATAACTAATCTTATGATAGTGCATCTCCCAAAGCGGGATATCTACGTACCGAACTGTCTGCACCGACTTGGTTCTGTTCACGTTACCAGTCATAAGTTTTGCATGGCATTTTTGATGTTTGAGGTCAAAATCCCACGGTTTTTTCGTCCAAATCCATGACAGCAGGTTGGTGAACTCCCAACTTATCTCATCCTACTCGTTACTGATGACATTTCATCCAGGGAGCTGACATATCAATCTGGGCCATCTTTTCGAGCGGGTTCTGCCCTGATTTTGTGGCTTGATAGAAGCTGAATCTTCTCTCAGCCAGTCTCTGGTCGGTCTGGATCGGCTCAGAGGCGATTCAGCTTCTCCGATTTTATCGTGGCCGCCTTTTCCGGGGCCTCTTCCTAGTACCTACCCATGACAAAGCTGTCGTCTTGTATTTTGCCCAGCCCGTCTATCCTTGGGATATACCGGCATTTTAATTTGATCCACCTGGAACTGCCTGTGAATAACCCTCTAGGACCAATTGCCGGCGAAAAACGCCTGCGTATCTTGTCGATGACTCTTGACATCCTCGTTGCATTCTCACTGAACGATTGCGTTGAAATCCGTTCTCCTTATGGCGGTCAGGTACATACGGTTTCTCACAGCACAACCTTAGGTCTTCACGCTCCCGCGTTGCGTCGGAATCCGCGTTCAGCGTGCTCAACCAGATATTGGGCCCGATGATTGACCACGATATCCGCTGTAAGGTCGTGCGTGGTGCATGCTGACGATCTTGAGGGAGAATCTCGCATGAATGATACTACACCGGATTTCTGCGTCCGCTTGACCACCGCAAACTGGTCTCTGCTGTCATGGAGGTGGGTTTTGTGTGCTTGTTTTAGTCTACATGGAAAGTTTACATTCCCTGCGATTCCCTTGCGCCAGGCACGAAATAAATCTCGCTTTCTGGTCTAGATTTGTCTAAAGAGTCCAGGCTGTATTTCTAACCGTCTACAAATGGGCACCCGCTCCGCGAGACGTATTTCACCATACCCGCCTCTCCGCTGCTGGGGACTCATAATTTATTTTCTCGATCCCGCCGGGATGAGCATCTACATCCGATGTTCGTTCTGGTCGTCATCAGTTTGCCCATCCGAAGTTTACTGTTCGTTGACGGGGATTCTTCGGGGGACTTCTCTTCGCGGTTGGCTTGGCATATGCACCTTTACTGAGGCTATTCATCTTGAGCCTTCTCGATTCCGGAGTTCTTCCCCCCTCCACTCTCCCCCCAGGGTATCTCTGTACTGCTTCGAATATCGTTGAGCGTCCATCGTCACGTCCAGGGCCACTTTCCGCGTGCTACGCGTGACTACCTTAGCACAAACCGTGTGCAAAGAACTATCCGTGAGTAATGTTATCTGGCGATTAATTACACCCGCCAAAGCACCTTACAGCCTAAGCTTCCTAAATTCTCCCGAGACTGAGATAATCAGGCTAACCATTTTCTGTGCATTACCTATCATCTCGATGGAGATTGTGGTCAGGCACATGCGCCTTTTCCCTTACCCATGTTTCATAAGGGATCTCGGAGGGCGGGTCGCAAAGCCCCACGGCAGCTGATGGCCGTGTGTTGCGGGGGGATGTTTGGCCTCTCCTTTTGGTGCGATTCGGAAGAAGAGTTCCATGATCCATTTGACCCAGATACACAAGTTTGTTTCCTTCTTTGTGATTCTTCTCACCATCAATCCGTTTGCTTTGATCTTGTCAGCTGATGTATAACTTTCCCCCCCTCCTCCCCCTTTGATTGATTGATTCTCCCTTCTCATGTTGCGAACTCCTTAACGCCTCTTGACGTTTGCGGAGAGAATGATCTGCGAGAAATCCGCGTTTGGTTGGGTTGAAATTTTTCTTTTTTTGGGACTCTGCAGAAACCTTTCAAAACTCCTGCACAAGTTTCTCAAAAGGACGCAGTCGCCAATAGTAGAACAGGCTGAGAAGACCTGCCCATCAGTTTGGCAGAGTCGACCAATAACAATCGCTTAACAGCTTTCCGGGTATACGGTCCCTACTATCTAGCCTCGCCCTCCGGTGGAAGGATTCCTACCTTCCCCAGGACATGCGGTGACCACACACCGTTAGACCTTTTTGTTTTTCTAAATTTATAGTCTACCCTCCAAGAGGAGTGATGGTATGTAGGTCTAGTGCTTACCCTTCTTGTGAAATGGTCCCAAGCATGCCTGAGTGGAAGACAGCCCTATAACCTCACGTGCGACTCTTTCGTAGCTTCGCGGAATCTCTCGTCGGAAAGACTAGGTAACGAATCCGACATGAGGAAAAAAAACAAATTGCACGTAAAGCCGCCTTGCACAAAAATACCCCCACCCAGCCACGACGAGAGGTTGCGATGACGGCAACTTAATCTTCCCGCATTGAAAATAGGCTGCTTAGCCACTTGAACCCAAAAGCCACAATCATGTCTGGAGATCCGGTTACGCATAGTTCCAGATTCCATCCTTGGAGGGGGTGTTCATAATTAACCTGGATATGTTCAACTCGGGTATGGCGCTCGAAGTTGGAATCAGAAACATCTATCTAGAAGGTCCTCCTCTCGTTCCACTTTGTTTGTGCTGCCCATGGTGTGGTTCACAGGATATACAGAGAGAGCACAGGGAGCACATGAACACAATAACGCAGAGAAAGATGGATAATTGATACGAACGCCCCCAAATAATTCTTCGCGTCAAGGAAACTGAGCAATGTTTGCCGCGGCTCGGCAAGGTGCGGTGGTGATGCCTAAATATAGTCCTGGCACCCCTGGCGGCGGCCTGCCGCCGCGCAGGTTTCTTTTTTTTTTTTGGCATTCCCCTCCTCCCTTGACACACCGAAGTGAACCTCAAGTTCAAGCGCTATGTACGGAGTATGTTTACTCCTTTCTGCAGCCTTTTGTCCGTGTACCATCGATTCCAGGGTGTTCGATTCGAGTGCTTTCTGCGGGGGCTGGCGACTTCTAGTGTCGAGGCTGTCTGGCACGCCCGGCCATGGTATATCGCCCATCAACGCACCATGGCCCACATGCCCACGCAGAAATATTCCAAGTCGAGCCCTCGATAAGCTTCCGATAACACAGGCCCTTCAAGGAGCCCAGTTGGGCACCAAATTCTAATCGATTGGCGCCCCATCATCGCTTAGAGAAAAATGCCTCACGATCTGGATAACCCATCTGTCGCCGTCCATATTTTACCCAACATAAGATACTCTCCCTATCCACTCAGTCAGGGTTTCACGGCTGACTAGCCTAGCGACTGAGGGCCCACCGGTACCGGGGAACTATACTTAGAGTTTCCGGCATGGTGGGTGCGCGCATCATTTTCCCCCGTCTCTAGGAACTGGGCTCACGAGTGCCTGGGGTTGCGGTCGGCTGACCCGCGGCCACTCCCACGAACGTTAACTTTTGCCGGGTGCTGCCTCCTCACATCGCGCATTCACGATTGTTCGATCCCAGCGAGCGTCTCAGCACCTCGTCTTCCCTCTTGGGGCTGTGATCTTTATCAGCCCACGGGGTTGCGGTGCCGTCTCGAGATGGGCGTTTTTACTCGTAGAACCCGCTCTTGAGGGGCGTGGGGTTTACTCTCGTTTATGCGATCCTTCCCGCCCCCCCGGCTCCCCAAAATCATTGGTGGCACATTCTGTGATATCTCATTGCCTACGTGAGATCGCTTGAGAAAACATCCGAGGTCTAATCGGGTGACTCCAAAAAGGGCAATTCGCTGAGGCGGGGTTATCCATATTAAGAACATCCCGCTTCTGGCGGGGTAGCCCTTCCGCGCGTTGGCCATTACGGTGGGTGGTGGTGGTGGGGGTGGGGGGGGGGGGGGGGGGGGGGGGGGGGGGGGCATGTGCCCATTGTCTGACCTCATCGATGCGTCACCACCATCACTGCTAGCTGCCGATCGTGGTCCTCTGAACCCGGGGTTGGTCGAGAGGGAACGGGTAGACAGATAGATCCCATGTACAACGCGATGCGATGCGCCCACCCAACTCTCTTCCCTTTCTCAGCTCGCTGGGCTGATTTTTGTCAATTAGTATCAGAATGCTGTGCGCACGAATTTGTAGTAGTATTACCACTACCACTACCACTACATCTTTCCACGGCCGTAATCCTGTGTTTTCTCGCATCTCAAAAACCTATTGGTTAAGATAACCTTAATGTTATTATTGTAAACCCATATTTTTAAGGTCGACAAGTTCATTTCGTGGAATCAACGGATGTTTATGCTGCTATATGAACTTTTGAACTTCCCCCTCTTCGACCTACATAACGTGCTGTGTTACCCAGCTCCGTCGGCGGTGGTACTACTCAACTTCCACCTCGATCGTGGTTCACGCAATCTCGGTGATTATAGAGAGGTATAAATATACACCCGGGTGGAACACGTCCACGCACCCTGACGCCGACAGTTGCCGTGGTTATCATTTCGAAACGTAAACGTGTTGCCCAAAAAACCAGACCCACCAGACCCACAGTCTAAAAGTATTAATCAGGATGTGTATGTTTGAAAAACTACCCGATACAAAAAAAAGGTTTACCACGAAACTACTAAACCGTAACCAAAACCAAAAAAAGGAAAAAAAAAAAAAAAGAAAGAGGAAAAGAAAGAGATTAGGAATTGGTGAAACGTACAGGTAAATACAACGGGATAGCGTGGACGACAGCAACGAGGGGTGACTAGAACTACAGAGGAAAGTTTTGGGTGGGTACTTTTAAAACCATCTGTCCGTTGTATTTTAACGCGGGAGAGAGGAGGAGGAGGAGAAGGAGAAAGAGACTGACGGCGAAATTCCGCGTGGAAGACGGGCGGGGGGGGGGGGGGGGGGGGGGGGGGGGGGGGGGGGGGGGGGGGGGGGGGGGGGGCGGATCACCCATCCAGTATCCGCTCCCTGCTCCAGAACCCTGCATCAATCGCAGATACTGGAGGGATAGTAGTAGGGGCGCCTGACGACCCGCCATGATGGAGGAACTGCGAGTTGGAAAGGGACGTGACGGGGGGTAAAGCGCGAGGTAAGCCAGCCGTAGCGCGCGAATTGTTGTTATGTGACGAAGGGTACACGTTCGTCCCCCCCGCGCCGCCGCCGCCACCAACACCCGACGGGGCGAAACTGCGATGGTGATCAAAACCCCGGCTCTCCCCTGGTACTGGGAGCTGATACTGGGACGAGGCAGTGCTCGTCCCGTTGGTGGTGGTAGGTGAGGCCGCTGCGGGGTAGCTACTTAGTTGGGCCTGAGTGGGGAAAAAGGGGGTGTTGAGTGTGGGGAAGGAGTAGGCACTGGACGTCGAGGTTGAGGGGCTCGCTCCTGGGCCAGGAGAGTTCGGGCTAGGCCACGAACTGGGAGAAGATAGGGGAGGGAAAGACTGAGACTTTGCGCTGATAGGAGTGGCGGCAGAGCGATCGCTGGTACCGAACCAGCCAGAACCAGATGATCGGGTGCTGCTAGAGGAGGTGTCCCCCGCCCAAGCTGCTGAGGTCGCGTCGGTGGGGTAGTGGCCCGAGTTGTGACGCTGCGGGTACGGGTACTGCGAAGGCAGGTGGCCCGATTGTGATAGACGCGGTGAAGATACCGAGTGGTGGAGGCGGTCAGGCTGCTGCATGTACGAGAGGCGCCCCTCGGATATGTCATATCGCGAGGAGGTGAAGGGGAACGTGGGTAGTCTGGCATGGGGCGGAGCGCTAGGTTCGCCGTAGTGCGAGGGGTGAGTCAATCGTGAATAGCCACCCATGTCAAGGGGATCTGCTTGTGAATCGTCGCCATCAGAAGGGGAGGGTTCACCGAGATCACCATCAGCCGCGTCGGGCGGCATGATGGACCCGTCGGGGGCCCGCATGCCGGCCGCATCAGTTTTTCGGCGCTTGCGAGAGTTGTTAGGGCGGCGCCTGTAGACATAGTCGGGATATTTGGAGTTGAATGTCTCCTTGAGCTGTTTCGCTTGGTCTAGATAAAACTGCTTGTCGTTCTATGGGGGAACGGTTTCAGCTGAGAGTACGATCGTGAACCAAGAGATGGGATTAACCGGTGACATGGACGACCATTCTTTACTCAGAATCTTGCTGATTTCGCCCGTACGCATCGACTGGTTCTCGGCTGAAACCTGGGGACGTCGTCTGCGGGCGAAAATCATAAAGGCGTTCATGGGACGCTTTGGCGTGCCGTCCGCATTGAGACTCTGGGAAGTTAAGGCGGCATCATCTGTCACGTCGCTGGTGAGGGTCGGCGGCGAACACGTAAATGCGCGCGACTCACCATCGGCATCGCCGTCGCTCTTCTGTGGGTCACTGTACACGTTGTAGGTGGAACCGTCATCTGAACCCGACTGAGAACCTCGTTCGTCGCGTCTGTCGGACTTGAGCGTCACGGGGCCAGATTCTGGAAAGTGGGAGAGGGAATACTGATCAAAGGGACTCATCCGGGGTCGAAAGGAAGAAGAAAGGGAAAATAAAACCAGGTGAGAGACGAGGACTGGACGGAGGTGGAGTTAAGACAGAGGTAGGGCGGAGAGGGCTGGATATGACAATTGCGGGATGATCGGCGTCGATACAGAAAGTCTCAGTTAGATCGCTCACGCTCACGGCGGAACAGGACGAGCGACACGAAGAGGAGATAACGAGAGAGCACTGGACGGGGCACTGGCAGCAGCAGCGTCGTGTTCAAGAAATAGTTCCCAGTCTTCTCTTTTCTTGGTTGTCCTAAAGCAAGAAACCTGACGTACGAATCCAGGTTCGCATCCAGTTTGCCGTTTTAGCCATGTATGTACTCGCATCTGGCAAACAATCCGGTTTGATCTCGTCCGTTAACTTGGTTCGTCGCCCTTCTCAGACACCGCCTGATCTGGCCAGCAGGCACACCATTGTCCCCCTTGGGCCGGCTTTTACCTCCAATTTCCCCGTCGCATTTTTGTCCAGATCCCGCTCGATCAGCTCGTGACGGCGTCCAAGCAAAAAGTCTCTGATCTCGTATCTCTTCCCGAACGACATGAGAACCCCAGCATATGCTCTGCGTTCCTCTTTGTCTCGCCTCGGTTCTTGTGGACACAACCGCTGCTATGCACGGAGCCTTTTGACAAGTGCGGCAATTCCATACATAGATATCCCAAGCCAGCCGCATTAATTTGATCGATTCGCCAAACTCTAACTTTTCCCGAGATCACTCCCAAAAAAGCGTAAATTATCTTCGAAACCCCATTTCTTTTCAGAAGGGAAGGGAGGGGGGGGGTGGGACCCTGCAACACCCAGACCCTGGCTGTTGGGTTCGGTAACTTCCCTTCGTCCATCCACGACTTTATGGGTGATATGTGCTAACGGGGTTCGTCGCTTGATTCATCACACCTCTCGGTGTTTCGAGCCTCAGATCCATTCAGCTTATCTCAAATCCCCCACTTTCAAATGCCTCAGATGCTGTGCACCCTACCCCGGTGCCAGACCCGGTGATCTACTGGTGCCTGCTTCGTTACTCCTTCCCAGAGCCATGCCAATGCCACGGAGTCTGAAAGGCCCAGCAAACCGAACCCTCAAAAACATCCCAGGCATTTAGGTAAGCAATATACACGATGAAGACCGGAAATGAATGGGATTGTCGTCCAGAAGCGCAGTACTGCACGTTTAGAATAGAGTCCATTGACGTCGACGTTGAAGATCATCAAATCCTATATGATATTCATTTCTATTGAATAAACACCACCACCGTGTTTCGATCGAGTTGCATGTCGCGCGCGCGTCGAACTTTTTTTTTTTCTTTTTTTTTTTCCCTCTTGAAAGTTCCGGGTCTCAAAGCGCCTGGGAAGCCGTCACGAGAAAAAGAAGCCAAGGGCTCGCTCCCGTGTTCGCTCGGTCGACTCGACGTGGCACAGTATCCAAGTCGTCCGGGAAGGGACCAGTGCGGATCTTGAACATACGAAAGACAGATTATCCCAAGTCAGCGGCAACCAGCAGCACACCCTCCCCCCCCCCTCCCTCCCCACTCCACCCGAGATGGGTTCGTAACGGCATTCTGTGGCGGATGCCTTCTCATAATTAGACAAGACATCGCGGAGAAGGTGCGTTTTATTGGCCTGGGAATGCGACGTTTACATCACAGACGCGAGGCGATATGTCCAGCAAGCTTTCAAGGCCGGAAGAAGGTGGAGATCATTGTACGTAGAAGGAAGAAAGGACAACGTTCTAGCGAAGGCGTGGGGGGGGGGAGTAATCAGGCGTTAAACAAGTACACATCTCCGCTTACGCAAAGTCGCGGAAGCGAGAGGGAGTGAGAAAGTGGGTGGGGTGCTGCATGCCTAGGAAAACGTTAGTATGAAAGGTCCTATTTTCAAGCCACGAGATAAGTCTTTACGTTATCTAAGACCCGCTTCCAGATGGAGGAATAATTTCATCCCTCTCTCTCCGATTTATGAGCCCAGGCAAATGACAAGTCATCTGTGGGAAACAAAAAAGTTGTGCGAGTCAGAATTCTCGGAATCTTAACTTGAGATTAATGGGAGGTTCAAAGTGATAGGCGGTCGAAGGCAGTGGCGCGGTCCCGGATCATGATATCTTTTGTAAAGGGGGCGAGTAATGAAATGCAGAGTGCTCTTTAAGGAGATATTGGTCATGGGGCCGACCTTCCCTTCCCATTCGAGGGCTCGATATTGCCGGCGCGCTATCTCCCAGAAAAGTTCACTGCCGAGAAGCGCGTGGTGGTGGAGAGAGATATAGATCCAACCAACTGCAGGATGCAGGACGCAGGAGAAAATAGTGCTTGGCTTTCTATGTTTGTTTCGCTAGAATCGCAGCCGAGCTCGAGATGGACGACGAAAGAAGCAAGACGGGAAAAGACCCCAAGCAGAAGCTGGCTCCAACGTAGTTAGAATTCGAACAGGAATAGTTTAGAGTTCGAGTTGGCCCAGTTGGAGGACACCTAGACAGAGACAAGTTTGGCGATGAGAAAGAAGCCCATAGCATGGTCCCTTCCTAGTGCTGTTCGTGACACCAAACAAGGCTAGTGTAGCACTCGGAGCCGTCGCCACAAGCCTGGATTCTCCACGAGAAAAAAAGCAAAAGCCAAAAAAAAAAAAAGAAAAAAACGGCGAGGTTGTGTGACGCGGAAAATGCTGCGAAGGGTAAAAAGGGCAAAGGCTCAGGTCCGGTCCGTCGAGGACCCGGTACCGGTGAGCTAATTATAGCCCCGTTCCTTTTATTTCCTCGGACTGCCCAGTTCATCTCGCGAACGCAGCGGGCCACACACGACGTCGATCCCAAATTTATGGGGCTAACAAAACGTCGCCGTTTATCCTATGCACGAGAGCCCAGTCCATTCACCCATTCACACCACTTTGAGGCCAGAAATTAAAATTCTTGGGGGGACTTGACATGCTTCTGTGCAGGTTTTTTTTTTTACTCATCAATGAGAAATGAAGTGGGTCTTTTCTCGAGGTGCTCTGCATGTCTCGCGTCCGAAAATCCCGCAGTGGCATTCATCTCGCGGGAACGCCGCGATCATCCTTGCCGCGTTTCTAGCTTCCGACGCGGGATCGGGGTTTGAGAGAGTCAAGCGTGGCGGAGAAGATCTATCTGGCAGCTTGGGGAGAGTCACGATTTCGACGGGCAAAAAAGTCCACGGCTCGCTATCCGCCTGGGAAATCGGCGGAGAATTTTGTAGTTACGCGCGTTGATGGTGGGGGAGAATGTAGCGTAGCTAGTCTGGTCGCGATGAGACACACAGCAATCGAGTTTAATGAAGGGGGTAGCCCAAACAAGGCAGTTGGCTCTAGTCTAGACGAGGAAAAAGGGTGGGTCTTCGGACTCGAGTAGACGGTCCACAACTAGGGGGTCAGGTAAGGTTGGAATCATCCCGACAATATTGGTAGGGGGTTGGGGGGGCGGGGGGAGGCGGGGGCGGTAGCACGTCGCGAGGTCGGACACCTCGGGAGATGATACAAAATTAAAAAAGCCATGACAACAAGAAGCCTGGTAAAGGCGTAGTTCAAGGTATATACACCCGAGCCTGGGAGTCTGGACGGAGAACCCCAGCGTCTTCCCCCCCCCCTTCGCTTCGCGTGCTGTAATCCCGCGAAAGGGCTGATATCTGCCCAAAGAAGGCGATGATCAAATTCTCTTTGGTCAGATGAGACACGTAACGAACTGAAAGCTCCCGGGGGGGGCCCAGGTCGAACACGCTTGGGGGAGGGGGAAGTGGGAACTAGGGTGCAATAGTAATCGAGATCGAGATAAACCCATAGACGAGAACAAGACGAGGCGACGGCGACGAAAGATGGATGAATGGAGGGATACGCTGGATCAGCGTGCGGTCTGTCTGGCAAGGAGAGAGCTCAGCCCTGGGGCCTGAGGACAGCCTCCAAAAAAACGGGGAAGGGTAAATCAGAGGAGAGGAACGGTACCTAGGAAGAGGAAGAGGAAGGAGGCCCCGACGACAGATCTTTGTTGTAGGAAGAAAAACAAAACGTCGCAAAGTTCCTGATCAGAAAAACATACTAAAAGCTCGGGATAGGGGGTGGCCCCGGGCCGGCGCGCGCGCGCCTTTCCGAAAGTTGGGTCGGAGTTGGGCGGGGTTTTCTTTCAGCTCCCTCTGTGTAAGTTTTCGGCGGTGGAGAATGTCCCCCTGTCGACATCGACCGCGAGATTCAACATCTGACTCGGAATGTTTCAAAAATTTTCTTTTTTTTTTTCTTTCTCGGAATGACGGATCATCGTCACGTTTGGTGCTTGGTCCCCCCGACTCCACAGAGAAAATCTGAGAGGGTGCTCATCCACTATATGTGGAAGAGAAATGTCGGCCTTCTCCGAACGGCTCGGTTTGTTATCTCCTTTCCAGAAACTCCTGTTGTCTCCTAGACACTGCAACCAAGTAAAATTGCCCCTTTTCTTTTTCATCCCTTTTCTGGGATACATACATGCGTCTGTGCAAATTTACCAACGCTTCCCGCGAAGCTGTCAAGGTGCGACCCTCCGACGCCGCAACCAATCCTACTGTCCCACTGTTTTTATAATGCAAACTGTAGGACCCACTGAGGCACATAGGCTCCCATGAATTTAATGATCTGTGCGCTGCTCGCTCCTCGTACATGTGAACACTCAGCTGTTGTTTCTACCCGCGCACATCCAGGAACTATTTTCATTCTTTTGGTATACTAGATTCGTCTGCCCCCCCACCCCAGTCGTCATGTCCATTGCAGATAATAGACCTCTGTGTCAGTTTTGCATTCTTAGGCTTCTTTATATAGAGTCGCAGCTTCTCTTTCCTAGCATTATTCTTTTTCATTTCGCCGCTTCTCCAAACAACGGGGCCGATCTTTTCTCTCTAGTATTCATCATAAGGCCGTAAGAATGCAGAAATGTTTTTAGGGTCATTATCTGTACGTAGTAATTTGGCTACGTATTCATTCAAACTTAAAAATAATTTATTCATACCCGCTCAGGACCCACCAAGATACATAAGTCACCACAAGGCTCGAGTCGTCCGTTTCCGTCGGAGGTGGGGGGGAGACGCCACTGAGACTCTTGTCATCCTACTTTGCCGATGTCCAATTTTCTTGACACAAGGGAACGGTTCTTCTCTTTTCTTTTTCTTTTTCCGGTTTATGCTTCTAGTTGTGAACTTTTGGGGTACTAATGAGGGCAGGGCTTCTCCGACCGCATTTGGCGGATAGGACAAGAATAGAGGGGGGGGGGAAGAAAATGAACATTTCATTGCTGTTTATGTTAGAAGCGAGATGGTGGACTGGACCTTCCTCGTCAGATCTTTGGTCGCGTTTGGTTAAAGCGCATCTTGGTCGGTGTACCAAGAAGCTGGGTCGAGATTACGGTTCCTTCAACTGCCATCGTTAAAGAAATACTTCCCAAAGCTGGTGGGCTTCTAACAAACGAGGTATCAAAACATGACAATTTATCTATCCCAAGTCGACTCGTTCCAAACTTGGCTTCTACTGAAGCGCCCACACACTGCCTTGATCAGGATGGACACGCTATGAAAGGGTAGTAGGGTAGTCAGCGTAATGATAGTGGAAACATTTGGAAGGGGGGGGGGGCCAAGGATAACGTACATCGGCGGCAAGCTCCATCCGAATCAACGCCTCTAGAACACCCTGGCAAATCTCGTTAACAGTTGTCCTTAATATACTCGGGGAGGGCATATGACATGGAACTTGCCTTCCCAGTCCACCTCTCCGTGTCTTGCACCTGCTGCGGTGTGATAAAGTCCTGGGATGTGCGGGACGCAAACACCATTTGCGCGGCGGCTGCGCGGATGACGGTATCCGGTGCGGCAAGCGCTGCAGTCCCTGTGGATGTGGTGCCAGCAGCCTTGTCACTGGACGCTACCGGTTTCACAGGGCCGGTGCTGAGCGGCGGAAGTGCTGCTTCGGACATTTTCGTCATGTTGCGATTCTTCTTGGACCAGCACTCGGCAAGATGGTATAAGTGATGTGTCTCCATCTGGTGCGCGTCTTTTTTAAGAACATTCATTACTCGCTGTCATTGTTTGGGTAATAATACCTCTAATGTGGCGACATCAGGCGTGGACGCAATGATCTGCTCAATGAGTGTGTCATTGTAGTCTGGGAACGACGTATGTCTTCCTTGCGAGGAGTAGAAACTATCAGCTGATGCGTTGGTGATCCCAGCGACGATTGGGGTTGTGGAACCGGAAGGTTTCACGGTTTCTAGGGCTTGATGTACCTAAGAAAAATGTCACGACATGTTTGAACAGCAGTTAGCTTTTGGCAAAAGGCTGATGCGCAAACTTTTGGAATGACCGCATAAATTACCTTGAAGGTGGCGATCTGATCCTGCCCAATGACAACCGATTGGCGCTAAGCTCTTCTGAGATATGTGGATCAGATCCCATCTTCCGGAAATAACATGCGGTCATTTGAAAAATGGGCCCAAAAAAAAAAAACACAAAACAAAACCTTCTGCCGCGAATGTTTTTTTTCGACATACCACATCATGGAACTCCGGATCTGCGAACACCTGTGCCGGCATTTAATTTCCGGGGCAGAACTTTTAAATGAACAGGGACAACATACCGGTTTGCTTATTCTATAAGGCACATCGTCGTTTTCCTCCGGGTTGACAAAGTCGAAATCAACGTTCCGTGTCACTGCGATGCACGCCCTGGGGACGACGACCGTTCCTACCGGCACGTGGATGAGACCTCCACAAGAGCCTAACCTGTTATGAAACCCCGTTCAGTTCCGTCACAGCCCATCGCAGAATGATACTTGCCGGATAACCAGCATGTCACCGACGAGGCATTCTCGAACTTCGCGAACAAAGAAGTCCATGTTGGAGGCGCCCATTCCGATGCTGACAATAGATACCGGGACACCCTTGTATCTCCCGGTAATGGTGAGGAATCCTCGTTCCGAAGATAGTTGGAAAGGCTTGGGGGTAACGTCAAGGAAGGAGGCTATGGTATGCGCACGGGAAGACGAGCCGACGGTGATCTCGATAAGTTCATTAAGGTTGACGAGTTCCCTGTACATCGATTTTTGGTTGAACGTACGAGCCTGTTGGCGACCTCTCCGGGCCGCAGTCCAAGGTGATATACACGAAGATCCGCCGTTCGAGGGAAATCTAAACGGCTTCTTGTTATTTTAATTGATGATAATGCCACAACAGCAACATACTGGCATCGGTGAGGGTATCTTTCATGGCTTCGACAGGATAATCGTGGTGGAGAAGGCAAAGGGTGGTGTTCACTGGTTACTCCCGCGGGCCATCAACTACCGGCAACCCGGCACGAATCCCGGACCCTCGTTCCAGACCACCACCACGATCAAGACGATAGCGCTACCTGCGACGACAGACTGCAGAGGGGAGAAGGTAAATAGGTTAGCAACGCGGTGAGCATCTGTTGTCACCTTGGTGGTTCTGTCCTGACTCATGAACGAATCTAGCAATGCGATAAATTTCCGATTTTTTTTTTGGGCTTGAAAGCGGCTCGGTTCAAGCTGGCGTATCTGACAACACTGGAACGGTTCGCAAGAGCCCGTTATGTCTTGGAAATGACGATGGCTGCGGAACGTTACGACGGCTGGTGACGGTTGGGCAGCTCCTAACCCTGCATATCGGCGACAGAAAGCGTTGGAAATGGACGACGACAGGCCCTCCGAAGTGTGGCGACTGTCCGCGGAAAAAGGTGTCGTTCGTTTTTTTTCAGTCCGTTGTTTAATATCTCATGCTGCGTTGCACTCGTCAGTCGAACCATTTTACTCTCTCCATTTCTCCCTCTGATCACGTCAAATATCAGATAATCCTCCTGTCCTTCGTCGGAACCCTTAAAGGAGAACCTAACCACAGTCGGTATCTCCTCTTGTTCTCTGAAATTCCGGCAGACTCGCTAGGCCGTATACGTTCAAGCTTATGACGGTTTGTGCAGCCGCCCCTACGAGAAGAACGCATCTTGGACAGAGTTCTGGCGGCTGTCTATAGCCCGAGTTCTGCTCTTCTTTTCTCATCGACGTTTCTAGCCTTGCTGAAATCCTTGCGAGTCTAGTTTGCGTCTATTGTCATAAACTTCTTGATCACGTCCAACTTTCTTTTTTGTCCAGACTGACTACCTAACTTAAGGTTCGCGGGACGGGTTTGCCGACCGCCACCAATGTGTCTTTTATTGCTCTTCTCAAGCAGAATGGCCTGGCATCGTGACCCCCAAGATAAGGCATGTTGAGCAATTTCACATGGAAAACTAGACATTGACAGCCATCTGTAGGTGTCACATCGTCTCCTTCATCGGGCTGTCGACCTACATAAGACGGTGTGGAACTGCAATCGCAGGAAAGGTCAGGATACATGTCACCCGATATCAACTTATCGAGCATGTGCTTCTGGTCTTCCCCTTCTTTTTCCTTGGTTGTCTGGATCAGGTCAGGTTTTTATCAATCTGGAGATCTTGCCCTTTTCTCATCATTTCCAACACGTAGGTTTCCCTGTACGTATGTGTTTATACTTAAATGCTACCTTACGCCGCTCGGGATATGGATATTTGCGCGTTACATCATGGCTGACGTTCCTCAAGAACGACATTTCGACGGTGCTCCTGAACCTGAGCCACTTTCTGGCGTCTGCTTTCCATCAGGGAACGACATGTGTTCCAAAGTTACTTTTCCTTTCCCGCACTGCTCGAGCGCAAACGTGGGGGAGGGGGGTGGTTCTTGGACCAGTTGCTCAGATAAATCACGCACAAGGAGTTAATCGATCCAAGCTAAGCTATTACTGTCGTTTCGTTGGAACCATTGCCCAGGTTGACGAGATCCGACAATTGCTCGCGATCGTTGTCACGCTCCTCAATCATTAAGTCACGACCTGATAGTTCTTGTCGAATCCCTGGGAATATGTTACTATGGGGAGCTGCGTGCCGTTGCTTCCCCCAAGGCGTTATCCGGTGCCCTGTACGCCCTCCCTCAAGCATTGCAGCCGCTAATTTCTCTCCCAAAAATTGGCATTTCCACCCCCAGCCTACGGCAAATATCGCTCGAGCCTTCAGGTACAAGAGAAAAAGGACCCGTGATTACGCTCATCATGGGCGTGCCAATCGGAGGGCTTCAAGTTTGTCGCAAGGAACAGTTTGTTTGAAGCAGGGCATGTCGATGAATTGATCTCCGCGCTGCAAGCACAGGAAGAACCTCGCTGGTCTTTCGGGTTCGAGCTGGACCTTGACTTCGGCGCAGATATCCGTTCCAGGTGCTGTTTTGTGCGCTTCTGCTTCGGGCTGGAACTGACAATTTGATAGTATTAGCTTGTCTACGGGTTTATGAGGCCGTGTCGGGATAAGTAGACTCAGCCATGTCGTCTTCGGCACAGATAGCCGTTTCTTGATCTCCCTTACTTGCCCACCGTTCCGTGATAATTCACGCCGCGGTTCCTTAATGAAAAAAAAAAAAAATAATCTCGGTCAAACTCCAGATCGTGGCCAAGTTTCCGAGTAGTTTCCAAGGATGATAATGCGACGTAGCCAATCTGCACGCGTTTGCAAATTTGTCAATCTCTGAATCTGTTTGGTTCTGCACCGAAAAGCCATCGTATTGTTGAACTCCTTCTTGAAGACTCACGATAGACCCGCAGAACCAACAGCAACCGTTTTTTATTGCAGGTACTTCAAGGCAGCCACGCCAAAGCGTTCCCCGGCGGCTTCGATAATGATCTTACAACCCCCGCCAATAAGCTCTGAAAAAGGAATCCAACGCGACTCGTGCCCACATTTATTCCCTTCAAGACAAAAAACCTCCATCGAGACTTTGGAAGACGCTCGCCGCCCACTCTAGGTAAATGACAACTTTACTCATTAAAGCCCCCCTGCCGAATTTGTGAGTCTGTTCTGTGAGCCATCCTTGTGGGTATAGCTAAATATTGTGTGCTGTGCTGTAACAGCGCTCATAACACCGACATCGCCGTTGAGAACTGACAGTCGTCCATCTTTTCGCATCCCGAGCGATGATGATCAGCGGGTTTCCAATATGGATAACGTATCAATCATCCCACGCCTATCTTACTACTGGCGCTGCTTTAGTAGCTTGATCATGTTGAAGCTAAGATAGTAGTAATAAGGTGAGAAGATTAGCTCCGATAATATACATAGTAGAACCTCCAGCAGGTATAAATAAATGTACACGATATAAAGAGTCAGAGACAACAACATCCATTATGATGCGCAATCGTGGGCTTAAGGAACACCCAGCGCTGACTATTGATTCATAATGAATGTCCGTCAGCTTCGAGGGACACTGAAGCAGAATGAACACCCCACCTTGTCGTATATCTTTCTCAATCCACTCCATGTTCGCAATCGTGTACTCCTTATCGAGCCAAGTCGATATGGAATGTCGTCCACTAATCCCCTCCTTTTCCCGCATGCTTGTATACACGTTTGGGCCGACCCCGACCCCGTTTCGTCACTGTGATAGAATGATACCAAGTGGGCATGGCGTAGTTGTGGACACCTCCACTGTGCCGCCTTCACACTCCATAGGCACGGAAGGTATGGAACCGCGAGATCATATTTTAGATAAGGGTGGCTAATGATATCGTTCGGGAGCTCGGTCGACAAGAGGCGCAGGCACGTGTCTATCTGGCAGATGCAGGTATTAATACCGAAACGGGGACTGGCTGAAACGAGGTAATCGGATACAATTGAGGGTGTAGTTCGCGTTGTCCCTCCGCCGAGATCAAATTTGAACCTGATATCGTCGGCCGACAGGAATCCATGAGAGTCGTGGAGATGGCCCAGTTCGTCGCTGTCAAGGATCGCTGGACAGCAGGATGGGAATCTTGAAAGAAACGTTAGGGAAGGGGGGGGGGAGAAACCATGTTAGTGAGAGTGAGTGTACAAAGGCGCACCGGTAGTGAAAAGGCTTCCAGTAGAACTAGTTCCTTTTCTCTCCAACAAGACGTGCTTTTTCCCGCAAGAAGGTCCATTCATAATGCAATCCATTGGGAAGCTGGCACGGGTATTGAGCAATACATCGGTATACTTTAGAATTTCTAGATGTACCGGATTGTAGATAGCCTCGATTTTAGGGGGTTGTCCAGGAGCTCTGATAGGTTTTGTCAGTATTCTCAAGAATGGATTGCGTGCCTTGGTGCCCATTTGGAACCACCCTACGTTTTCTCGATGCCATGTTTCTTTTGCGTGCGCCTCAGCTCCCGTGCAGCAACAGCATAGATGACGGCCTCCGAATTGCAGCTGCTCCAAGGATACAGAACTTGAGCTTGATGGGGCTTAAGAGTCGCGCAGAGGCGCACAATTGGAGGCGACGCTGCCTAGAGATCCCGTCAATGGTAGCGCTATCACAGAAATGTCATCTTTTCCACGTACATTGTAAACCCTTTTCCATAAAAAATCCTATCAGCTGAGTAATAGTGTTATACGGAGAACATAGCCACCGGCATCCAACTTGCCCCAGTCCTGTCGACAGCTCCTCTGAACCCACTACGCATCTGATATGGTCATGTAGACAAATAATACATTTATTACCACCAGGTTTGCATTATTCCTCCAGGCAAGAAGAATTTTAAAGCCTCCTGGGACCGACCGACCGACTGACCGACGTGCCAGAATGCCGGCCCACAACCCCCTTGCCCTTTTCAAAAATGAGAACATGTTGAGCTTGGGTTGTCCTGAGGATTGACTAGTCTTCTTATTATACACAAGACATCTGTTCACGGACTTCTGCCGATTGCTCACGTAGCACGGCCCAAGCAAGCAAGCTCTGTCAATTTATTTTGTAAGGATGCAGTTGAATATTCAAAGGACAAGATGGACGGAAAAAAAAAGGTAGTAAGAGTGAAAGGCTGGCAGACAGAAATCATACAGCCTATCCCGATTCCCTATAAGAAACCTTTTCGAGGTAGAGCTCTAGGAAGAGTTGGAGATAAGACAGCTCTGGCTCGACGACGCGAAAGGCGATATCTTACGTGATGAACGTTAAACGGTGAACCTTAGAACTAGAGGAAAAACACAGATGAATGCCATGCTGGATTTGAGGTCCTAGAACTGTGGCAGAGCATACGGCGACTAAAAGACTCAAAGTATCCTATGTTGAGAGCACACTAAGGGCACAACAGCTAGTTAGGAAGGATGCCAAACGGGAACATGATGAGTAGAATAACAAAATGAAGGAATCACGACGTTGGGTCTCCGGACTTCCGGACCGAGTCTAGGTCTAGTGGCTTGTCCGAAACCCGAACCCTTCGTTCAACTTTGGTTCAACTACTTCAGAGCGAAGCATAGACAATCCCTTTTGCAACGTGTTCACGCCTGTCTTTTGTGGTAGCTTGCACGCAGAATAACATTGACTTGTGCCTTCTGTTTTATAGAATACTAAAGGATCAGGTATCCCAGATTCCTTGCCACCATTGAATTTGGACTTTTTCCTGAATCTACCATCGCAGGCTTCACAGACGACTGCTGAACGATCCTTCGGATGACAGAAAATGCTTATAAAGACATGTTGCAACCACCACAGAAACACAACAACTTGGACAAACGATGAAAATCTTTTTGCGCCCCTTTCCCCTTGATTTCTCGTCAAAGGTTCTCGAAGATCCAGGACCTATCATCATGGGGGACAACCAAGGCAAGCTAGAGCCGTCTATCAGTTCGATGAGCAGATATAGACCGTGCTTAAGTCACAGAAACAGACCTCTTATTGACGTAGAAACCAGTTTTGAACTCTTCCCCAGCTCTGACTACGCGGTTACAAATTCGTGCGAGGGCTAACCTTTCTTGGATATCAGCTTTCAAAGACGAATTAACGGCGACACCTGATGCGTCACGGAGGTTTCGATGATGAAAGCATTGTAAGCTGAACGTGATGGCCTCAATGCCAAAGAGAAGGAAGTCAGAACCCCGCGCCCATTGTAAAGGGCTAATCTGAAGGCTACCGACTGAACGTTAGTCGACATTTTCATGTCACTTTGCGTTCCATGGCCCGTAAAACCAGAGGACATGCGAATCTTCTGCAGTACCTTCACTCATTCACCATCAATCTCGGTCGGCCCTTACGCCAGAGTCAGGCCTGGACATGGCATTTTCTTCTCCAATTTTACTCCGTCTTTTTCGCACCAAAGAGTTGTTGCGGGACGACACAAGTACCTGATGTCAACCTTATATAAGCATAGACAGTTTTGTCCTGAGTCAACGGTCAATTGCCTTTAAGCAATTGACC